CTTTGGGGGAAAAGACTGAAGTAGTCTTTTCAATATTCCTTAGGTGCTAAGGTCTTAGACCATTTATAACATCAGGGTTTCTCTGACTGGAGCGCAGTGGTGACTGGAGCGCATAGGCTAGGCAATAACTACGGTGCAGTAGCTAAGCCATATACAGCCGGTGCGCAGTGGCAAGTCAAGTGTGGTAGAGCGCCGTTGCAAGGTAGCAAGTGCGCAATAGACCAGTGCGTATATTGTATTTGTAGTTTGTTGTATTTTCGGGCCGTGGCAAGTAGCCTGGTGTTGTTCTCCTGATAAGTGATATATTGTTTATTTGAGTCGTAATAATCGGGAATCATATGTAGTTATTTCTAATTCCTTGTTGATGGGGTCTATAGTTTACAGGCCACACTTGGTCAGTGTGCCGTAGGTTTATAAATTTATTACGCTACCATTGCACAGCACATCCTACGAATACACTTAGGACAGACCAGACAGGTTCCGAACCCTGTGCACGTTACATTACTAACATCTTTGAAAATTGAATACTGTGTTTGGATCACTGTCATTTTGGAGTTTGGCAACAAGCTCCTCCTTTAGTATATCATCCTGAAAAGTTTGAATGTTCTATTATATTTCTTATAGCGAGCGCAGCGAGTGCTTTATGTTATTGTGTGATAATTAAACTCTTACAACCTGCCCATACCGTCAACTTTAAACGGAAGTGTGGCTGGAACTTCATTAGCCACAATACACTTGCCGCAGCACGCAATGAAAACTGCCGACCCGTTGAATGGATTTAAATGATTCTGACCGACAAAATATCTTTTTAAGCTTCCGTGTGGAAGTGAAATCATACTAAAAGTCTTAAATAATTCAAATGAATTTAACAAACATATATATTAATGGTTTGAAAAACATATAACAAACATCTCGTTGAAAAATTACAATTTTGTCTCACTCCAACTGTGGTTCGGAACCAGTCTCCAATGTCCCCGTTCAGGTAAACGGTACTGCTGGTTTTGTTGTATAGGTTCTGTATGACGCGGATGATGTTAGCGTTGATGTTGTAGTAGTTCATGGTCGCCCAGAGTGTTGTCAAAGACTTAATTAACACATTTATTGTTACCACTGAAACCGATAAGCATCACAAATTTCAGTTTTTCTGAGTGAATACTCGGACAAGGTAATTGCTCAAAACGTTTTATTTATTAAGCTAGTCTTATCTTTTGCTATGGGAAGTTCTCCGTTTAAATACTTTTTATGTTACCATGTAAACAGATAGGCCAAATCACAAAGTTAAGTTTTTCAGACCAGTTTTCTTAAACCATTCAAGGTAATTACTCAAAGCTTTGTACGGGCATCAAGCTAGTACTCTAGCAGAAGTTCTCTATTTCAGTACTTTGTATGGAACAATTAGAAATAACAAATAGCAATGAACTTGTTGTAATAATAACATATATATATATATGATTGTGTGCCTTTCTTTTAAATAGCTGGGAAGAGGAAAATGCCACGTTTTGCGTTATTTTGCCGTCTTTTGTTTTGTTCTTCTTTCTCTGCCTTCATGGAGTATGATGGTGTGTGCATGACTTACTTACATATTTCAACCTATAAAAACACACTTGTCGTAGGCATGAGAAAGTTCTAAATTTGGAGGGAAATCTGTATCCCGTCGGGAAATCGAACCCCGAACAACAAGGTGAAAGACAAGTGTGTTACAACTGTGCCATCAAAACAATGTATCGCCTGATCACGGCAATACATTGTTTTCTAGAAGAAGATGTGTTGCTGCTGCTGCTGCTGATATATTGGTACATTTGTATGTGCCGATGTTTTGTTAAAATCTTACGAAATATACAACAGATAAAAAAAAAAAAAAAAAACACGCTTCAGTGCAGACATGGATCAGGCTGTTCAAAATGTGCATCTTGTTGGCCAACTCGGGCTCGCTTTTAGGCAGTGCCTATTTCACATTATAATTAAGGTGATTTTCAGAATATATAAAGAAGGAAAATTATGAACGCAAATGGGATACTGCGAGCACCTCGAGGTAGGCTAACACATCACAACCTTCAGGCGTGTTTGTCCGTCCAAAACAAACATTCGCACCTCATGTCAAAACTTATCATTACTAACATCTTTCCGCCATTTTTTTTTTTTTTTTTTGCATCGCATGATTGACGCAGCACCTCATCCGAGTGACACTTGCCGCCATTTTATTTCTGCTCCTCATCCAGACGATTATACTGTGCCGCCATTTTGTTTCTGCAACTCATTCTCGTGACACCTCCGGTCGCCATCTTGGTTTTGCACCTCATTTCAGTTGATACGTGTCAAGGTACTGCACTTCATTTTAGGCGCGCAAAAAACCTACATACTATACTACTTCATACAATACAAGAAAAAGCAACACGAAGTCTTGTCAAAATCCAAGAGAGTATTTTCTTATGTCTTCGATCATGCTATCCTAAAATTGGTGTATATAAGTTTTGAATATGATCCTTCAGCACTTCCATATAGCAATAAAAAGAATTATTACATGATTGGCGGACAACAGTCCACGGACGAAGGGCGAAATAGACATATGTCCCTCTCCACAATGCCTTGAACTTAACTTCATCCTGTATAGAATTATAGAAATGAGGTAGGAACGGACATAAAAAGGTTTAAGTTTAACAAGAGGCCAAAGGGCCTTTATGGTCACCTGAGTAACAATGCTACATATAACATGCCATAGAAATGATGTGCGACCCTGAGGTCATGAAATCTACAATTTGGTAAAGCATCTTTAAAAAAACTTAAAATTTTGATAAAGCACGATAAGATACTTTCATCCTTGAAGAGTATTTGGGATTAGAGATGAAGATTTTTGAAGTTTCAATCAATCTTACCCTTTTTGGCCCCACCCCTCAGCACCTGGGGGTCAGAGACCAAATCATTTACAATTTTGGTGCGTCTGTAGACATAGAAGGTTTGTAAACTTTTATTGAAATTTTATGAAAAGTTTATGGTGCACGACGCACAACCCACAATGCATGACGCCGGACAAAAGGGGATCGCATAGGTCGAGTCCTCTCTAATTTGTTAGACGAAACAACACTTTTTTATGGTGAAGCTTTTCAAAGACGGGATTAAGAAACCTGTTAACATTCATGACGTCAGAACAACATGGATTTTCTTAACCTACTTGTTAATCATAAGAGTGTAGCTTTCAGGTCAAAAGAAAATGCAATGCCATTGCCGTAACAGACTGTTCATGTCAACCATAAGTTTCGTGAAAAATCCAGTAGATTGTAGGAAATTTCTCCTATATGTTGCGATTTATTACATAAAAGATTAAGTGGGACAACGAATTGTTGCTACAAGGCACCAACATTTAGGATAGTATGGTCACTGAGGCATAAATGACCACATGGCATCCCGATCAATGTTTTCCTCGGAATATCATGAAAGAGTTCCTCTTCTAATCCAAAATCAGCAAGATTATTATTTATTTGTTGCGTGATTCCTTTTATTTTATCAAAGAGACCAAAGATATGAAACCTTTCGCAACAGTTTCTGGACCAACAGAATCACCTGGGAATTAGCACATATCTGGCATTCAATATGTGGCTATGATCATTCAATGGTTACAGAGAAGAAAAGTTCATCAATAGCCGAGGGGTCCTTCTATTTCGATATTGATCTTTATCAATAATAAGGTCAAATCAGGTCAAGAATGCAAACAAATGACCAATAGCAAAAAGAAATTCTTTAATATTTTGATAAGTTGTTCACAATTTCTTAATTTTGCATCATGGCCAAGAAACATGATTAAAAAGACACTACATTTCTTCATGCACTTCTTAAACCCTAAGCTATGACAAGCAACAGCACCATTAAAAGTCTAGGAACCTTTTTATATCATATATCTAAAGGCTTCTTACCATTTCTGTTTTGAAAGTTCCACATAATTTATTACAGACGTTGTACTACTTTGTAGGTCAAATACAGTATATAGCATATTCGACCCAATAAGCGCCCATGTCCCTATAAGCGCCCCCTCCCCCTTCAGATACCCAAAAGTCTAGATTTACTTATGTTTTAGTCAAAGCATCAGTTATATCATTTCAGTTCAGGTTTGCATCACAACATATCAATCGCACATACATCCATAGCTTCTGACTAAGTATAAATCAAGTAGTAGTAATTGTAGTAATAACTAGTCCCATATAGTAGAAGTCTAACATGCTCCCTAATTCAACAACTAACCAACTCACTAGTTTTGTCTTTCTTTTCTTTCTTTTTTGGAGCTTAACGTCCTTGTTCCGGTTTTAACTGAGCCTAGGATGAATCCAAACACTAGTTTTGGGCTCTCAGACCCTATATTATCATGTAGCCCTGCACCAGACAGAGGACACCCTGTTCAGGCTCCCTAGGGAACTGTACAATTTACCAGACAGGACCATTCTGTGTTTCTTCACCAATTGTAAATTAGTATATAAGATAAGCTTCACTTTATACAAACAATATAAAAGGTCATGATAAAAGAAGACTTCCTCTATTTTCTTATGATATACAACATATTTAAAAGTATTGTTATACTTATGTGATATTTAAGAAAAGCTGACTTCAATATACTTGAAGTTACTGTAAACGTTATGCAGTTTCAAGACTATGCTATCTATTGCAATTCTGAGAACAGGTACAAATTCCTAACAACTTACTGAATCTAATGACATTCATATTCTGATCTAAATTATACAATATCTAAAGTTACTACTTGTTTTAGATATAAAATAAACACATTTCTTCATTCTGGGATACCAGATACTATATCCTGTATACTGTAGCTGACAGTGGGGGGTCAGACCCTTCCCTTCAGCCAGGGGGATGTTGACCCAGCATGACGCTACTATCTATACACACTGTAGTGGGCAGACTGACCTTTATTATCTATGTACTCATTATATAATTCTGACACATGTATTTCCTATCTGTCATATAATGATAAACAATAACATTCTTAAGTTGTATCCTTCACATTCAATAATGAAAAACATAACTTATGCATTGAAAATGTATGACATAATGAGATATCATATTACATGGAAAGGTATGCTGGAAATTAATCTGACAAGTTGACAAATTCTAGCTAAGTATGTATTAAACATACTTATTACAAAACAGTAAAGGTCATGTCATTACATTGATGATATCACAGTAGTGATCATATGACCAAACAGTGTTACACAATGTAGTCCTTCACTACACATTTTTGTTATAACTTCATTAAAATTACAATTATGTGTACCTCTGCAGTAGACATAATTATTGAGTCTTTTTCCTGATCAATATCTACGCGTATAAATGCATGTATTGGGTGTATGAAAATGATATATTTGGAAAGCAATACAATAGTTTCCTTTTAAAAGGGAAATACCTTTCAAAGTTGAATATGATAATTATTTTAAACAGGTAGAGTGCTTGAATCATAAAACGATACAGTCTTAAATAATTGTAAATGGTGCTAAAAATAGGCAATCATATTACAAAACATCCATAGACACAAATCAAACTCAATCAAATTTTCCAGTAAAACAAATAATTTGGATCAGCGTGTAGATTTAGTGCTTTCGTTTGCTATTGTAAGACTTGATCCTTTCCTCTCGACCTAGTTCCCACTCCTCAAGTTCACTAGCGTCCACTACCTGTCGCATGACTGCTCTCATCAAGTCATCACAGTCCCCAAACACACGACAGCCAAGCTGTACTTTGGTGGATGGGTCTTTCCTCTCACAAACATCATCATAAGGTGTTGTTTGCCTGGAACACAAAGATGAGATAAGTTTGATCATGAAATAATATGTCTTGGTTTGTAAAACCATTGATCGACAGTATGACAAGAGGCCCAAGGGGCTTGTATCGCTCACTTTAGTGTATCGCTCACTTTGGTGTATCGCTCACTTTGGTGTATCGCTCACTTTGGTGTATCGCTCACTTTGGTGTATCGCTCACTTTAGTGTATCGCTCACTTTGGTGTATCGCTCACTTTAGTGTATCGCTCACTTTGGTGTATCGCTCACTTTGGTGTATCGCTCACTTTGGTGTATCGCTCACTTTGGTGTATCGCTCACTTTGGTGTATCGCTCACTTTGGTGTATCGCTCACTTTGGTGTATCGCTCACTTTAGTGTATCGCTCACTTTGGTGTATCGCTCACTTTAGTGTATCGCTCACTTTGGTGTATCGCTCACTTTGGTGTATCGCTCACTTTGGTGTATCGCTCACTTTGGTGTATCGCTCACTTTAGTGTATCGCTCACTTTAGTGTATCGCTCACTTTAGTGTATCGCTCACTTTGGTGTATCGCTCACTTTGGTGTATCGCTCACTTTAGTGTATCGCTCACTTTGGTGTATCGCTCACTTTAGTGTATCGCTCACTTTGGTGTATCGCTCACTTTGGTGTATCGCTCACATGGCTAAATCAGTTATACAATCATTTAACAAAGAATTTTAAAAATGACAAATACTTTCTGAAATAATTCCCTACTGGGTTCCTGCTTCGTGGTCAAACAGAAATCGGATTCACAATTCACAAAATTGCTTCAGACCGCACTTGGACAATACCCATCCATTCCCACAGAAGGAGTAGGATCATAAAGACTTTACTCTGTTTCCCCTATTGGGCCTCACTCCTTCCACCCATGGGGCCCATGAGATCTAATGTTAATACAAGATTGATTGCCCTTCACCCAAGAATGATTCAGACCTAATTTGGGCAATATCCATTCATCCCTACAGGAGATAAATTTTAAAGATCAAAATTTCCCCATTTGGGCCCAATGCCTCAGGCCTATGGGGGCTGGGAACCAATATATAAACAGACTTGGTTCCCCTTCCCCAAAGAATGCTGCTGACCATATTTTGATGTTTATGACCAACAACTTTTCTTTGTTATAATAATCTGAAAATCCCAATAAAAAATTGCTTCAAGCTCTAATATGAAAATCAATGAAAATATATAGTCTAAGTTATGTGGTAAAATGTAATAGAATGTTACTGGAATATCAACTGACCACTGCCTTGATTACATAAAACCCTAACTAGCAAACTCTGATTTTTTCAAAGAATTTTAAAGATATTTTAAGTTTACCTGTTGCAGATGACAAGTTTGACCGGCTTTTGACCCATAGTGACCAGACTATTGGCTGGAGAGACTCTAAGGGTTGATCCTAGGGTCAGCACCATGTCTGCTCTCTTGGCATTAGCTACAGCATTATCCAGTACCTCTCCTTCAAGGTTGTCCCCAAAGTTTATAATGGTGTTCATTAAATAGCCTTTGCATTTCTGTGAAAAAATACACCAGGAATTTCAAATGGAAAGACACATTAGGGTATAGTGCCACTAGAATCTTTAATATATTATTGATGAGAAAATGATATTGTGAAATAGAAAATGAATGTAACTGTTAAACTAATTCTGTTGAACAGTTTTCAAATATTCAAAAAGGATGTATTTTCATCAAATTCCTATGACAGGATTTATACATATATATATATACATACATATATAAATTTCATTCTTAAAATGTCTGTATTTAGTGACCTGTATTTTTCAATCCTTGAAAATAGTGGAAAATAAAACCAATTGAAAGTAAGACTACTCACTGGATCAGGACATATTCTTCCTGTCCTGTGATTGATTCTACAGTGTCCACATTTCTTCACAGGCACTTTAGGGTCCTTGGGGCCAAATCTGTGGTTATGATTCATCACATAACGTTTGTTACATTTTTCACATTTTTCTACAAAACCATTTCCATGAAGTTCTGAGATTTTATCCTCTGGCACACCAGACAGACGATGAAGACCATCAGTGTTCTGACTTATGATATACTGAAGGTGTCCCATCTCTAGCAACTTGAGCAAAGCTTCATGAGTGTATGTTGGGCGCAGCGACATTACATTTCGTTTGGCTTTTGTTTTTCCTTCCTTCTGACTTCCTGTGAAACAATAATATTGATAAATTTGCTATGTTGTCATGCCAATAATATATTTTCTGTGCCCATGCTCATCATGGTAAAAGTTTTTGGTGTCAGGGCTGGAATGATAAAGATTTGCAGGATGGATATGAAGAATGGACCCTATGTCTGCCAATTAAACTAATGTTAAAAAATTGTAAAAATAAGGTGAAAATTTTAGCACCAAATTTCATGAATAGTCTTAGACATGTTCACTCAATAGATGCTTTTCCTGGTTAGACGAAAAACTGAAGTTTTCTTGAATTTTAGTCACTCCAGTCACAAGACTTAATAATTTTGTTAGCAGTCTGAATTTCTTGTATATGCAACTGATAGTTAGCAGCGGGGAAATTTCAAAAATCAATGCATCATTCTGCTGTAAATATATATTGTAACACTGGAAATAAAGAGTAAACAGAAGACATCGAAAGATAGTTTCTATTATTTAAAACCCCTAATATTCCAAGGTTTGAAAAAAGAAATCTCAAATCTTTTGGTTATGTTACAGGATAGTCTGTCACCATGGAGGTCCTTCCAGTCAAGAATCAGTTAAATCACATGACATGATTTTACTACACAGTTTTTTTTTAAGAAGTCTACCTAGTATACAGAATAAGCTGAAACCACATTTGAGATGTCAAAATACTTTAGCAATCTTGAATTAAGCATGTTTCTTGGACTAAACCCAAGTTTAACAGAGCCTAGAAGTAGGTATAGGGCTTACAAAATTTCTGAAAGTTGAAACTATTCATGAAACTGACTTCTGAAATGGCTATCTCGAATGTTCAGCAGCTATTATTGTGAAATGTTCATCAGCAATGTAATAGACTGTCATTTAATCAAGAAAAATGTCTTAATGGAAGCAAAATCTCAGTTAACTAATAGAGATAATTTAAATATGATAGTTACTTCTAAACAATGAACATTCAGTTCATATTAAGAAAGGAAACCATGAATAAGACATCATCCAAGACCAGTTTCCAACCCCAGGTAAAATTAGTAGCAAAATCTGTACCATTCCTTACCATGCTCCTTTTCTTTATCACGGTTGGTCCACTTTCCATGAATGCCCCGGAAATCTCCGATACCAGCTGATGTTGAGATCCCGGCACCTGTCGATGTACAAGGTTATTATCTAATCATCATACTAATAATACATCTCTACATTTGTAAAGCATTCATTAACTGATGAACTACACAATTAGCACTTGTTGACAGGTTGTCAAATAAGAAAAAAATAATGTCATATTGGTATGTTTGACATCCATGCCAAAAAGTAAATAAAAAAGTGCTTTTCATATATACCATGCAAAAAATTTATGCTATCAATGTTGTCCAATCAGATCGATCTTTTGGATCTATTCTGAATCCTTTCTGAAGGAATGGCAGAAATAAAATATTTTTTTATTTTGATTGAAAAGGAGAATCTAATTTCCACCAAACTTTCAAGATGATCTGACAGAATCTGACTGTATCAGAACAAGATACAGCTGTATCTTCTCCATTTATATACCTGTAAATGCAATAGGATATTTGCATTCTTTAATCATGAGAGCTATCCTGGTTGTGTCTGCCATGAGAGCATCAACAGACTGATGAAACTCTGCTGTCTCTTCCGCCTCCAGTACAAGAGCCTTCTCCTGACTGCAAAGTTCAGTGACCTCTGACTTGTGGGCTAGGTCATTCAGTAGCTCCCAGCATACCATGTGAAACACTCCTACACCATCATCATCCCAATTTGCCAGGAATTCTGGATATAAATAAAGCATAGGATATTATGAACAAATAAGCAAACCTTGTTGTTCCTTATATATGTTGTCTTCCATAAGAAATTATCTATACCTTTTATACTTTTTATTACAGCAGCTGTCTTAAATACCATGGACTCTTCTACGTGTTGAAAGCATGTGAATATTGAATCAAATTTGCAAGCAATCGATTTGTAAATATCTAAAATAAATATATTGCTAGTGTAAATTTCACCACCTTTTCAGAAATTGCTTTATCTGTCATACAGGTAAATGCATATCTATACATGTGTGGATTGTACCTGGTTTAGCCTTGACAGTGAAACCACGCACATCTACTCTGCCATTGTTTGGGTTGACAGTTCCTCCAAGTTTACAAGCTTTTAGATGGCAATGATGTGTATCAGCTTCTTTATCACCAGCAGCAGCCATTTTGTGCCTTTATAGTTCTTCAGAAGTAAGACCACACAGCCTTAAAACCAATACATTTAATTCTATTTACGTATCACTTGATCGCTGTGCTTGAGCTAATCAGTGAATACAACAATAAATGTAATGTATATTACATGTACACAAATGTATATATAACTTATTGTGATGTCGGACTTAGATCATTAAATGATGTCACACACTTGTAGACAAACTCAGCTCAAGGTGAAAGTCACATTATTGCTTTTTTTACTAATAAGATAATTGTGCAACTTTTACTTGGGACCAAGATTGAGGATGACTTGCAGATTGCATTGTGACATAACAATGGAGATCACACATAATGTAGATAAAACCAAATCACTTTTCAGTTTAATTTGTCAATTTGTCAATTTTCTGCAATTTTTGCCTTAATGAACCTCAGCTATATAGATATAACAACAATTCCTGTGGAATCCTCTCTCTCTCTCTCTCTCTCTATATATATATATATATATATATATATATATATATACAATAGAGACTATATGGTTATGTATACATTGTATTGTAATGAGGTTAGACTATAAATCGCTAAACCAGATGGTGACTTTATACACTGTATCTTGCATGCATTCACCAAATTTTCTATGATATCTCAGAGGCATTGTATCTTTTCTGGGGTTTAGAGGAACAGAGTTTAAATCATGACAGTACTACAAAATAACACATTTGGAATTGAAGTATCACATCCCATTGAAGCAATTAGACAAAAAAAATGCATGATACATAAAAATATAACATGACATACATACCAATATTCACACAAAAAACATCATCATCATAATCATCATTAAATGTACATCATAATCATCACAATCATATGACCATGCATCATAATCATTATAATCATATGACCATGCATCATAATCATCACAATCATATGACCATGCATCATAATCATCACAATCATATGACCATGCATCATAATCATCACAATCATATGACCATGCATCATAATCATCACAATCATATGACCATGCATCATAATCATCACAATCATATGACCATGCATCATAATCATCACAATCATATGACCATGCATCATAATCATCACAATCATATGACCATGCATCATAATCATCAGACATTCACACACATTTTACAGTTGAGGAGGGAGAGAGATGGGAAATTCAATGTGGTATAAAGAACAAAGTGTATAATTTACAATCTTTAAAAGTAAGAGGATTATTAGATATTTCACAATGTAAGTTTGAATCACTGTCAAGTTCTGGGGATGTTTTTATTTTTTTTTTTTAAACAGCTGTGCCTGAAGAAAACAAAAAACAAACAAAACAATAGAGAGAAAAAGCAAAGATATTTAATTGCAATATTAAATGAATGAACACAAAAATGTGTAGACTTACCGACTCAAAGGTTTGAGTGCAATTTGCCCTGGGTAGAGGCTTCCACTTCCTCCAATTCAGGTCAAAATTTCTTATCTTTATTTTCACTATTTTCAAAGTATGAAAACTTCTGAACAACATTATGATCCTTAATAATATTAAGAAGAGCATCAAGATGTTAAGCTTTGTTGAAACATCTAGTTTGATAAATATACTGTTCAATTAGAATTAAGATTTCATTAACAACCGAACTAGTAAGTGTTGATAGGATTCCAAATAGAAATGATTCTTTATTGAAAGAGAATTCAATACACAGAAGATCAAGATGATTTTCAAATTCATGTAATAACACTTGCACTTCTCTGCATTCCCATAAACTCCATTGAATTACCATCCATGTTTACAAAACATTCTCTTCAGCCAGACACGTGTAAGAGTTGGACTCGAAGGTTTGAGTGTAATTTGCCCTTGGTAGTGGCTTGTATTGAAAATAATCTGTGTTTTTCTGATTCAAATTTGCTCATATTTATCTTACTTGTAGAGTAGATTTAAGCTCAATTCAGAGATCAACATCAGGTAACTCAGAAACTATAAGCTATAGTAACCACTGACATCATCTGCATGCGGTCTTATCACCTACATAACTGTGTATGTTATACTTTCAAATAATAATACCCGTCTCCTCTCATTCCGTCACAATGTAACAAAATCGTAATGTTTGAAAACATCTAAGCTGAGGTGGCTTACCAGATATATACAAAAGTTTAATAGTACTGAATCTAAATATCTCCTCGTCTGTCGCTCTTCACTGCTTCACTTCCGCGTCCAGCTTCAGATCAATGGCACGATTACCTGTTGCCATATCGTAAGTACAGGTATGTATGTCATACCTAAATGAGGCGATGACGTTTCGGATGTTGCGTGCTGAATCATTGCTTAGGATGGCCAGTCAGCGTGTTGGTTGTCAACACAAAGTGAAACTAGACGAAAACAAAACAAATCTGCTTCTCGTAAACGCTTCACCTTTGATAGACTTGCTGACGTTCCAACGTGTAGCATACTTTGAATTTGATATGTATATATCTCCATGTCCGTGGAACTGCGCTAGGATTTGGTACACGGGTCGATTTTCCTCGAAAGATGCTAAAGAAGAGCTATTGCTGCTAGTAGTCAATAACAGAATCCACAATAATTGACTAAACAATCTGTATCAAAACATCAGACACAGTACTGTTCAACTTACAGTGGTGCACATATATATGTATGATATATGCCGTTGTGTTTCCACTTGGACCACAAAAGGTCGTAAATAACGAAATCAGCGATAACATGACAAAAATAGTTTTCTGTTCATGGCATATCCCTGAAAATGTATCAAATTGTGATTGACTATTAACAATTTATGAAGAGTCTTTATGGAAAGATGTTATTTAATGTCATGTGATTTAAATGTTAATATACAATGTGCAACCACATGGACACAATTATACATGAAGTCTGCGAATTGTATTTACGGCGCGACAATTTACCCAGATACACCCAAATACACAAAAAGCTTTCCCAAATATACCAAAATACATTCAAAAATACATCAAAATAAAGCCAAATCGTACCCAAATCTTACCCAAAGGGCCGGTTTCCAAATCGGCCCCTTCTCTGATTCAAATTTCCTGTTGGTGGTGCATTGCCCATGCCGTTGTGGTCACAAATCTATAAAGTATAAAGATTTAGGTCACTTGGTTTGTTTTTTATGGCTCCTCAAAGTTGTACCTTTCAGAAGCTGTCCAAGTGCTGATAAAATGTGCATGTTATGTAAAATATTAATGAAAATCTAATCAAATGATAGTCACCGTAAAGAATACATTCATGGCATGATTGTGACAAAAAATCATGTTTCCATCGCGCCATTTGGCTTTTTTATGGAAGAAACAATCTCAAAAATGCCATTTTCGATGATAACATTTTAGATACAAAAACTGTGTTTTTTAGAGAATACACCCTTTTATGGGCGTTGGATGCAAACCAATTTTTATCCTATAAAGTAGTACGTAATATGCTAATGATGAGAGGAAAAATCATCAAAATGTAAGTGGTGGAACATTTTCAAATGTTGGGTTGAATTAGCCTATGGTTGAATTGCCGATTTTCGACTTTCTTTAGATAATTAACAAAAAAACGAGAGTATTTCCTCGGTATGTTGAGAATATGTACACAGATATGAAAAAAAGTGAGAGAAACACTTTTTCATAAAAAATCCAAGATGGCTACTTCGCAAGTCCCCGTGGTTAAAGACATTGGCTGACAAATAGACAGAACGACAAACAAAACGTGTTCCTTATGATTTTGGTTGGTTTTCGCATTTACGGGATTGTTCATAGCTACCGGCGATTGTATAATACCTATATTTATAAGTTTGGTTAGTCACATGGTAACGGGGATATTTCATATCGAGCCCCAAACATACTTTCGACATATGCACTCTGTTGCCGCATGAAAAACTATTTCAAGTTTTGTCGAAATTTCTTTACCTGTGGTTGTAATGGTCGAGGGTTTTCCAGCGTCCTGTAATACCCAAGGTAGTACAAGATACTGGAGATGTGCGCACACATTCTCATCGTTCTCTCTCCAACTGGGCACTGGCAGTAGTAGTCCTTTATTGGGGCCTCAACATCGGGTGAGACGGTGAACCGTATCCAAACGTTATATTTCGTTTGGCTTTGTGTCGAGAATGTATTTGACATCGGAGAAGGTCTGGGGAGTGCTGGTAAAGCCACACCTCATAGTCGCCGTCATCACTTAAATGTTCGGCGATGTAACCAGGAGCCAGAGATATCTGATACGTTCCACACGTAATGGTTCTCAAGTAATCAAGATCGAGACGGGAAAACAGTACTTTTTTTTTTTTTTTTTTACACATCATAAAACTGTCATGAAAATATCCGCTCTGATATTCAATATAACAGTTTGTATATAAGCTATATAATAGGGTTTCAGACAAGGTTGTTACTAACTTCCCCTTTTCTTTCAATTTACAACCACATTCAGGCGGCGATATGAGAACGTTCCACCACATGGAATTAGCTGATTTTGGGTACACATATGAAACAAGTAAAGCTCTATCCGATTTTCTGATGGAAATATCCATCCAAAACTATATAACGGGAGAAAATTGCAAATTTATGGCATTTTTCTTCATAATTGTGTCTCTGCAAGTGCATTTTCATCCGAGAATATTTTTTTTATGTTTTATGAATAAACACGATGTTTTGGAAATATTTATCAAAAGAAATTTATACTATGTTGCGAATTACAATTTCGAGATAACCTTCTTTTATTTACGAACTTATGTCTTTGATGCTGGAATTGACAACTTTATAAACATACATTTTCACTAAAATTATGAAATCTGGGTGTCGGAAAGGTGTAAAATTATTTTTCGGAAAAGAAAAAAGCAGTAGTTGAGCTAGATAAGAAATTATACGGGGGCAGGCTCCTATGGAGAATTAACGTTACTGGAAACAGGCCCTTTGTTCCCCCTTCATTTTGTCCGTTTTTGCCCGTTAGCCTATATGGTATTACGGAATTTATAGGAATTGCCTTTGTAAATGGAAGCTAAAATTAGACAAAGATAATCTATTTTATCATGTGTATATCGTTTATTAGTAATAAAATATAATAACAGGAACGTATATAACAGATATACGTCCCTGATAATACAGAGTCCGTTACGGCACGTTCCTGTAAATCGATTTGGCTTTATTTGAGTATATGTGGGTAAGATTTGGGTACATTTGAGTAGATTTTAGGTATATTTGGGTAAGATTTGGCTTTATTTGAGCATATTTGTGAAAGATTGGGGTGTATTGGGGTATATTTGGGTGTATTTGGGTACATTTGGGTGTATTTGGGTAAATCGTCGCGCCCTTGTATTTACACTATACAAGACCCCTAGAGACATTCTTACATACATGCTAAGGTATGTATGAAGGTGTATTTACTTAAATTTATTTCTAATCATAATTACCGATCTCAGCCTGAAAAAGTAATTTTAGACATGTATATATTAACTATCTTGGTTGTAGATTATGATGATGGTAGTGGTGGTGGTGGTGAGGGGGTGGGGATGTTAACAATTTATAGGGCTAAATGAGATATGTTTTTTTTTAAACTAAACTTTGATGTGTTGCAAAGTCAGTATATTTATGTCTTCTCCACCATCTACATAGAGATGATGGCAAATTTGTTGACCTCCTGTTCTTCACATACAAAACAGATCATTCATCAATATTAAGTATACACCACACACATACAAAACAAACCACATGCATACTAGTATTAGATATACACCACACATACCATACTAACCACACATACTAGTAATAAATATACATCATACATACATACAATAAAAATCATACATACATACTTGTATTAGCAATGTATCACACATACAGTACAAACCACCAATAGAACTGATTAAAACTAATACATGTGTGTATTTTGTACCAGACCTCACATCTTCTGAACAGGATTAAGTTATTTATCCAGCATAACAAAATAATAGAAGAATTATGATTGTATATGTACGTTTTACACATGCTCTGTATCACCTTGCATTCATGATTTAACCCATAATCAGTAGACATACATCCCTCATAATTTATAATCACTTATAGGGTATATAGAAACAAGTTTACAAACATTTACATACATTTGTGTTGTGCTTATGTGTGTGTGTGTGTGTGTGTGTGTGTGTGTGTGTGTGAGAGAGAGAGAGAGAGAGAGAGAGAGAGAGAGAGAGAGAGAGAGAGGGGGGGGGGGGGGGGGGGGGGGGGGGGTGGGTGGGTGGGTAGGGACAAATAACTGATAATGCAACAAGTTTGTTAAACTTTTCCTTAGAGTTATCTCCCTTACTAATTGTAATAAATCTTTGTACATTTTAGTATTTTATGATTGTGTTCACTAAGGCATTGATATTAAGGGAGTTATGGAAAGAGTGCATTATATATATATATTTGATAACTATTAATATTTCAGTATCAATTTTACTATTTAAATTTTGTGTTAAGAAACCAAATAAGTAGGATGCTTTATTAAAGTTAAATAGGATAAGTGCACGTAACAGAACTTCAAAGCTACTAAGAAGATTTTGAACCTCTTTGCATCCCATAAACTGTGAGTTATAGTTTCAATCACAGAGTTGCATAGAGTTTTAAAAAGAAAAGAATGTGATGATTAATTCTAAACTGGAACCATTGGAACTTTGTATTTGTCGATATCAGAAACGGTAGCTTAAAAATTTGGGTCCCATGTAGAATCACTAAAATCGAAGACTTCATTCCTTTTTTTCTGACCTTATGGGATAACCTTGCTCTTTATTAAAATATAACAAAAATATTTCGAACCTTTAGGCTGTCTAAAGAAAGGTTCCAAGTTTAAGGGGATAAAAGGATATTCTAATTTTATTTTAGGAAAATCTGGATCAGGGTTAAAATGCTTTACAGAGAACACTATGATACTGAAGAAAATTAGTCTGTATATGGTAGATTTGAGTGAATTCCTGAAAAGAATAGAATGTTCCAGAACTAATATTTTTTATCCGATCATTCACAACAATGACATCCTTTCCTAGGCAGTCCTTAATAAAAATTGATTTTTTATCAATAGTTATTTGATTGTTGAACCATATAGGGCTTTTCAGGAATACTTCATTTTTATTTGTTCTGTTGTCATTAGCATAAAGTAGACTTTTATATGCTTTAAAAACATCCTTCCAAAACTTGTTTTTACATTTATTTTGACAGCGTTGTATGCATTCAGTACCATAATTGGCCATCAGGTCTGAGGTTACATGTGTTTTTAGAATTACTCTGCACTTTGAAGTAGACTTCTAATCCATCCTAGCTTAAGGGAATCGATAAAGGCTCTAACATTAGCCATTTTTAAACCATCAATGTAATCCTTTTTAACAACTTCTCTTCTTACTAATTTGTCAGCTTTACTGTTCCAAAGAAATTCATATTGAAATGAGTTTAATTTAGAGAGAAACTTGTCAAGTATGCATGTATATAATTATCCTGACACTGTTGTCATTATTAACAGCGATGATGAGTAAAATATATACACAGATATAGATCTATCAGTAATTAAAGTCTGGGGTAAATAACAATACAAAGCCAGAAATAGGTAAACAAAAACAAGTTTATTGACAAACAATCATTTGATCTGTTTCACAAGCCTGTTATGCATTATCATTTGCATGGACTTTTCAGTGTTTATGTAATGAAGCAAGGGCCAATTATATAAATGGTATATACATTTTTATATAATGTATACAGAGAGTAGACAGCAGATTTATCACAAATATGTCCCACATTCACCCCAAGCACCTACCACAAACAGGTAAACTCACACAATTAAGTTTTATTCTCTCTACTGCCAAGTCATATAACATCTGACATTATCACTTTACACCAGGAAGTCACATTATCACTAGTCTGTTTATTTGGAATACCATTCATGATGACTGTGCTATGAGGTAAAATGATACAATTATACGACTTCAATGATGATGAAATATTTCTAAGTCATGTGCTGTCTACATTACATACAGGACTGCAATGTACTACAATACATACAGATCAGATTTAATTCAGACTACAAGTCACATACACTTGGCTACAATACACATACTTCTGGCTACAGGTCACTTGCATCTGGCTACAAGTCACATATACCTGGCTACAAGTCACATACTTCTGGCTACAAGTCACTTACATCTGTCTACAAGTCACATACACTTCGCTACATGTTACATACACTGGGCTAAAAAGTCACATACACCTGGCTACAAGTCACATACACCTGGCTACAAGTCACATACACTTGGCTACAAGTCACATACACCTGGCTACAAGTCACATACACTTGGCTACAAGTCACATACACTTGGCTACAAGTCACTTGCATCTGGCTACAAGTCACATACACCTGGCTACAAGTCACATACTTCTGGTTACAAGTCACTTACATCTGGCTACAAGTCACATACACCTGTATACAAGTCACATACACTTGGCTACAAGTCACATACATCTGGCTACAAGTCACATACACTTGTCTACAAGTCACATACATCTGGCTACAAGTCACATACACCTGGCTACATACACTTGGCTATAAGTCCCATACACCAGGGCTAAAAGACACATACACCTGGCAACAAACACATACACATGGCTATATGTCTCATACATCATAATATAAGTCACATACATCTAGCTAAAAACACATACACTTGGCTATATGTTGCATACATTTGGCTATTAAGTCATGTACACCTGGCTCCAAGACATGTACACCTGGCTCCAAGACATGTACATTTGGCTCCAAGACATGTACACCTGGCTCCAAGACATTGACACCTGGCTCCAAGACATGTACATTTGGCTCCAAGACATGTACACCTGGCTCCAAGACATGTAAACCTGGCTCCAAGACATGTACACCTGGCTCCAAGACATAGACACCTGGCTCCAAGACATGTACATTTGGCTCCAAGACATGTACACCTGGCTCCAAGACATGTACATTTGGCTCCAAGACATTACATTTGGCTCCAAGACATGTACACCTGGCTCCAAGACATGTACACCTTGCTCCAAGACATGTACACCTGGCAACAAGTCACATGATTTCAATCCTAATTACATTAAAGCTACACATGTATTGTGATGTGTAACTGTATAATCTCAATGGCAAATCATTCATCAAATTAACATTTAGAAGTCAATTTTAACAAACAAGTGTAAAACAACAAATGATAGACAAAGGCAATTTAGCATTTTAATTAGCAGGTTTCAGTCTGAATATCAATAAAATGGACACTGAAATAAATTTAAAATTCCAGGGTTCAACTAATAAATTTCAAGCATTTTCACTATTCGAAGTCAAGTTTTCAGAAAATGAAAACCTAGAAAATTTCTGCAGGACACAAATGTCTCACCCTAGTGCATATAAAGTATCATTGTTTAATGAATTTCCAGAAGATGGTCAATGTGACCTTTGACTCTTTAACCTTGAGCAATGACCACCTTAATATAATTAGGTGTAGAACATGATGTTATGACATTGTGGGACAAATAAAATACAAATTTGCTAAGATTTCCTCATTACATGATATTTCATTGATTTGGAAAAGGTTGAAATTTCATAGAAATAGATTAAAAAAAAGGGAAAAGGCATAAAAGAAGGCTCCATATTTTCACTTTTCCACTTCATAAATTGTGTATTTTGCAGTTATGCAGCATGGATTTCAAACAAATAGTAACATAGAATCAATAAATTAAATTCCATTGTACTATTTAAATTTTATAAACAAAAGAAGTGTTGAAGGGGTCCTTTAGGATGTAATGAAATGTATGCACTTTCTAATTTTCTATCTATGCAGTTCATTCAAGCTCTTATCTAGAAATATTTAAGTTCCAGCACATTTCAGTATCATTTTCCCAGCATTTTTGTAATTCTGGCACTTTTTTGGAACACACAGATTGCAAAACTTTCAAAGCCCATCTTAATTTCAGTACATTTCATGGGTCTCCTTTTTCTTATAATACTGTACTGTAAACTGGATTTCACATATCAGATATCAAGTAAGAGAACTTGGTTTACAAATTAAAGTTAAAAACCACTTACACCTGTATCAGACTTATCATTCTTCTGGATTTAAACCTTTTACTGAACCAAAAGGGTCTTAGCACCGAAAAAGAGATGTGATCATCAAGTGAAGAAAGCAATACAATGTGAACATTACCCAATGCTCCTTCAGTTGGTTCAGATATATAAACAAAGTACTGTGTTGGTACAATGAACAGACAAACATGCCAATATTCTTAATTCATAACACATTTTCCTTCACAAAGAATTTCTCTCACACTTCAGCGGTTTGAAAACCTACATACACTTTTCGATTTATAATGTTTAAATGTTTTGTATGAACAATTAGTGTTCTGAATAAAACTATTATTCTGAATTTTTTGAGATCACAAAAGTCCTCTATTTTTTCTTGTTTGTATTGGGAAGCTGGGGGTGGGAGCTGCCTATGTGCTCAAGGAGTTGAGGAAGCTTGTCATGTCATACTCTGTGTCATATTGATCCTCATCCCAAAGGTCACCCAAATTTTCCAGCATAGAGGAAACCGTTTCCTTTTTGGAAGAACCAGCTTCTGCTTGGTTTGTGCCTGATGCACTTTGACCCTTCTTCTCATCATCCAATGAGAAAAGGTCTAACAACTGGTCTGTTCCCATCGTTTGTAAACTGGAATTCTCTTGGCTGATCACAGTGTTGGCAATAGTCATTTTGAACTTCTGTAACCTGTGGTTGAATGGAGAAAAGTTGATGATCAGAAAGATATAACTGCATTTACAATCATACAATGTATTTGATATAAAACCTGTAAAAATGGACAGTACCATTTGGTCTCTTTATTATCCACATCATCATTGAGGATTATTTTCCAGGACAAAGCAAAAATCTATTCAAATTTTAGATCAGAAAGCAGGTAGTAAATAGAAGAAAAGTGCAGGCTGTGTTACATTGGTTGAACATGAAAAAAAACATACTTTAAACATATCTTACCCCATGATTTTCTCTTCTAGTGTTCCACGGGTCACCAGACGGTAAACATTTACAACTTTCTTCTGTCCAATCCTGTGCGCTCTGTCCATTGCCTGTTGATTCAGATTTCAATTAATACGTTTTATTGGAGCATTCCAATCCAAGTCTTTACCGGCAGTGTACCACAGAAGGAAACTATAATTATATCATGTATTGTTATTGCAACAATTGTGAAACAAGTTACATCAACTTATATTTCATAAAATATATGTTGTACTTTCCAAGTGCAATAGTACCCACTTTTCTCTGGCAATAAGTCTATGTCTGATTATGAGCCCACCCACCAACAAATGCTATCACATTGTCTAGTAATAAGCCCATCCCGTCTTCTAGCCAGAGTCAACATTCAGACCACCTATTGTGCAATAAGTATGTTTTATGAAGTAAATAATTGTTGTTGACCTCCATCATCAATCTTTTTTTTTATACCTGCATTAAGTTATAAGGATAGGTACAAGGTGGATACATACTCCACGCTAAAACTTATCTATCAGGTAAACAGTGCACAAAATTGTTGCTTGTTTCCATAAACAAGGGACATTCCACATAGGACTTTTAATTCATCAAAATATTCTCATATCTAGACACTTCTCTGAAGCTAAGATTGTTGTTGTACAGAAAATTTGTTCTCCAAGTGCTGAAACAGACTGTACAGCACAATTCCTTTAACCACCAGTGAGTGTTTTTGGGAATATATCTTCTTTAACCATTAAGATGACTTGTAACTGCGTCCGTATTCAGACTTTACACCTAGATGATCACTGTTATCTACAAAAGCACTACCTGTAGGTCCTTCATTGGATTCCAGTCATGTTCCACAAATATCACGGTGTCAGCTCCGGTCAGATTCAGACCGAGACCACCGACATGTGTGGTCAACAGGAGCAGGTCTATTGACGGGTCATTGTTAAATCTGAAACCACATATCAATGTCCATTCAACAAAACCACTGGTCAACAACAACATAAAATATGAAAATAATTGTATCAAATTATATTGTTATCTCTTTCCTTTTTGACAGGTACAAGCCTTACAATAATATTCCACTTATCATATCAGATACTCCAATATACTGTTGCTTTAAACAGATGTTCATAATTTATTTGACTAGGGTGACAACATCTCAATAGAGCATGGTCTACACCATTCTGTATGTACATGTATGAAGGCTGAAAATGGATATCATAAAAACTAAATCATTGCATTCAAACGCAATATTATTATCTGTCAATGAAATGTTATGATCAAACAGAATATTTATGTACAGAAACACTATTATAATAAATGTACTAAAACAAATATGACTACATGAGGAGAAACATTAATTTATATGATCTCCAAATACTAAAAGGGATGAAATAACAGAATATTTATGTACAGAAACACTATTATAATAAATGTACTAAAACAAATATGACTACATGAGGAGAAACATTAATTTATATGATCTCCAAATACTAAAAGGGATGAAATAATCATTGATTTATGATGTCCATTCACTGTAAATTTGTTTGAGTTTTATATTTTGTAAACATATTATCTTCCTTTTATGACTCAAATCATAATAGTTTTAACTGTCTGTAGGTCATCAAATCTTTATTTTTTTACACGTGCTTCATAAATAGATCTTACAAATATTGGAATTACCTTGATAAATGACCTTTTCCGGTTTTCCTTTAAATACATTTCAATCAGAATTTTGATAAAAAACAAGGTTGTTTACAAAATTTAGTTTACTAAGACATTTAAGATAACAGAAATATTTGTACATGTGGATGATATCAAATCTCACCTATTGACAATATTATGCCGTGAGCCTGCTGGAATGCTTCCATCAAGTCGCAAGTATGTAACACCAGGCATATGTGTTCTGAAATTTGAATGACCATGTTAAATATTAACAGACAAGCACCTATATGGAGAGAGGGCTAGATAAGTAAATACAGCACAACAGCACAGCGTCTAGATATGGTTATTATCTAATAACATAGAAAAAAAGGATATCTTTCTTATTGCTTACATTTTTACCTTAGATCTGGATTTCAGGAGAACACCTTCAATCGTGGTTTCTTTAATTAAGTACAAACACAAAGCTTATATTAATATTTATTTGAACTTGGTGAATTTCACTTTTATTACATACTTTGCTGAATGATATGAAAAATGGAAAGTAAAGTGTTATTGAAATGTGAGTTTCACTTAGTCTAGTAAAAGTAAAACAGCAATATCATTTAAATCAGTGACAAAGTTTCCTAGTCCTAACTCCTTTACTTACATGACATATAGATATACATATCTACTTAATCAATGACAAACATTAGCAAACCTCAGCAAGTCTTTCTCTACAATGTTCAGCATGCCCTTGAGCTGACAGAAGAGCAAGACTCGATGCTGATTGACCACAGGAAGATTGCTGGTCACCTGCTGCTGACCAGGTACATGCATGGACTGGTCAACACCAATTCCGCAGTCCATTAGGAGTTGTCTGCAAGGACAACAAAAAATAGCAAACAGCTGACATATTGATTGAATTTCGAATTTTTATTTCTTGCTAATGCATTCCTTCACTCCTCAATCTTTTTCAAAACACTTCATTTACACCTGAATGTGTAGTTGGAATATTTTGCTACATTGATTACTTTTGGGAAGTATGAAAAGAGAGAGTTATATTGTAGCTATTGATTATTGTGTAAAGATGCCTTTAAGAATGAGCAGCATAATGTATGGTTTATATATATTGTTTAAAAAAACAGTGCTTTCCTACCTAGTCCTGCCTCATCTCTCTCGACAGTTTCAAGTATTTACTTTAATATTTCATTGACAACACACACCAAGTGTCACCAGTGAGTCATTCACTGGTGATGGTTGGTGTTTGTTGTGATTGAAACTTACCTGGATTAATGTTGATTTTTTATTTCATCATCCTGCAATCTTTCGGTATCCACATCCAATGTGCAGTGCCCAGTTATCAACCATCTCATTCTAAACCGACATTGGCTCGACCTTTTTTTGTTTACATTAATATTTGCTAATTTTAGCGACAGCTTACATAAAGACAGCTTTCCCATTTTACTTCAAGCAGCAATAATTTGTTTTCAGGCACTGGAGCATTAAACTATGGCAAACAATCATAATCAGCAAATTCAATCCAAAATCAGAAAATCTCAAACAAACCCTTACCTGAGAGCATTGAGTTTTGGAGCATGCAGTATATCCCTGAGGTTGGTATTCTGTTTCTTGAGCTGTGATGTTATCTGTTCGTACTTAGGATGGGCCGGGGTCAACACAAGAGATGGATGGTTACACACTTTACGCAGATACTGTAACGCCTGAAGTTTTTATGAACAGACACAGTGACAGATCAAGCTGACTGTTGACTTTCATGTCATATGATTATATGTTTTTTCTTTCCAAAAAGAAAAAAAAGAAAACAGTAATGGCAGTTGTACATAATTCTTTCTATGCATATCATACACATATAACAATATCTATATCCATTTAGATTAATTCTTTGCAACAATTCATCAACAATTTTGAACATTTTTTGGCACAACACTGATCAAATCAAACCTTTTTTCCTGTGAAAACCCAAGGTGACAAAAGATTTTTCTCTATATGACAACACTGTATTCCTTGACCCATCACAAAACCACGAACTGATCCTCTCAAATAAGGCAACACATACCTGGAATACATGTGTACTGCCTTTGGTAGGTACTTTCTTCTCTGGAGATTCTGACTTCAGTGATGTGACCATATCTTCAACACCCTTCTTAGCCTGAGACTTGGCAAAGTCTTCATACAACTCAACCTGGTAGTAATATAATGTCAATACTGCTGTTTATACTGAAAAATTGTATGTATATAATTTCTTATACAGTTTTGCTCAAAACATCAAAATTTGTAAACCTTGCCATCAATATGTCTATGACTAAATTCCAATTTTTGAAAATTTGAACAGGATGAAACGGAAATTTACACAAGATCTTATACTGGTGAACATTGCTGTCATTAGGAACGGTGAAAATTGTCATAAAATAATACACAATGTACTAAATAACATCCATTCCTGAAAGTAAGCCCTTCATATCTTTCACTGTTTAGTCAACTAAACAACAAAAACAGTATCTTTGTCCTGTAGTAATCCATCCTTATTTTGAATTAAAAGCAAATGTGCTTTTATTATAGCACCCTGGTTTATATCCTTTACATCCTATTTCACAATGAGGCAGGTTTGAGTGGTGAAAGAAAGCTGGAATTCCCACAGAAAATGTCTTACCTGGGGCTAGTACTGGACAACAGTCCCACATAGACCTTGAACCCATGGCCAAGAGGTGGAGTACTAATCATAAAGACGTTCAGATGCCTTTGCTACTGAATTATTGAGCAATGAATACAGCAGTGACCTTGACCATACCTGTAATGACCTTGACTCTGTTTCCTGGCAATCAGCCAGCGACATACATGAAGTGACACTGACCCTATTTCCTAGCTACCAGTCAGTGACATAAAGAAGTGACCTTGGGCCTATTTCTTGGCCAACAGCCAATAACATACCTGTAGAGGACTAAGGTCACAATAGTAGTCCTGTATGATCTTAGGTGGCAGGTCCTGTAGGACATCCTCCTTCAATCGTCGTAGGATGAATGGCAAAACTTGACGATGCAGCGACTCCATCGCTAAAGCTCCTGTAATGAAAATGGAAAAATAATGAACTTCTTTTTATGGATGCTTTAAACTATGACGGCATATAATTTTTGTATCAGGAGTGAAGGCCATTCATCTGGTTTGGACTGTAGTAAACAATATTTAACAAGTATATAGCATCTTCATAGGTCTTTGTAGATTGTGTGCTTTCTTGAATTCTTCTTGATATACCACCAGGTGGTGCTACTCACCTGCCTCTTGCTCCTTGGAGGTACTTTTAGCATCTCGACTCTGGAGAATAGGCTTGCCGTACCTTCCTTGAAACTGTTTTTCTGTCCCGAGAAAGCCAGGCATCAAGAAGTCAAAAAGTGACCACAGGTCAAGGACATTGTTTTGGATGGGGGTTCCCGTTAATACAAGACGATGATTACACTGAAGCTGCTTCACAGCCTTTGATAACTGATAAAAATAAAAATCTTCTGTCAGCACTAGACAGATTATATCATAGCAGCTTTACAGCCTGTGACAAAGTTATAAAGGCTTCAAAACTTCAACCAATGGCATACAATCACATTTTCATACAATTTTTTTTTAGATCTTTTATGCTTACCTGTACTCCAGAAAAACATCCATCCCACCCCAAAACTCTTTTTTTTTTTAAAGATAACACCAACTGAATTCAATATTTTTTAGCTGCTTAGAAATTGGAAACAGGAAACCGAACCCTGGATAAAAGTGATTAACTTTGGAGTCCTGATGTAAAGTAGATATTTTACTGAAATAGCCTATTATACTGGAATTGTGACAGAGTATGAATCTTTTACTCTCAACATCATCATATAACTAATGAATATAATACGAAAGATTTATTTTTATATATTTTCTGTGAAAAAGAGACATGCAGATTTTCTGTCATACATGCATTGAGGGACTGCAGTTTTCCATACTGGACTAAAATTGGTTATCATAAATCCAGCTATAGTGTTTCATATCAAATATTAAAGTAAGATGATAATTACAGACTAACATTTATACTAACTTGGCTACGATAGTAATAAACAAGCTCAAAATTTGTTTCTCTCGATATGGTTGGGATAAGATTTCGTCAAAAATTTTTTACTGGTTTGACGGTTTCGTTTTTATTCTTTCTGAAGATGCACACAACCAAGCTAAATGTTTTCATGTTTTTGCCAACGTGCTACTTGTTTAACGTACAGATAAGCCACTGCTACAGGATGGTGATACTAATTAAGAAGCCAACCTTTAATTAGACATTAAATGGAAATTAATTGCCAAAGACCAAATGTCGTTATGATGGACCCATATGCTGTAATTAGCCGTGTGTTATGCACCGTTGACTTTTTACACTGTGTATGTATAGATCAATTTTGTCGGAAGACGTGTCAATGTTTTGACAAAAATTAATAATTTAATTTCGAGACAACGAATGAGTTTTGCCTTGCTTTACAATTCCAGGGACTGAAAAATTGCTTCGACTCAACCAAAATTTGGACTCAATGAAATTCGAGTCAGCTGAACTAAAAGTAAGAAAAGTAAAAAAGACTTGAAAATCATTTCGACTCAAACGGAATTTTGACTCAAGCGATTTTGAAACAATGAGTTTCAACTGTATATTGCAATATTCATATTTAAGGAACTAGGATTTTAAAATATTTTCACAAAATAATATTTCTCACCTTTGTTTTTCCATTTTTGATGATGTGACCTTCATCTAGGATACAGTAGTTCCAGTTGATTGTACTGAAAGGCGGTCAAACAGGTAATTTGAAAAAACCCTGATGGTACAAGCATGTAATTACTACAAAGAATGTTTTTACCTTCACGTGTTACACTTGATTCAGATCAGGCTTTTTGTATTGATGAAGTAACAACTACTTAAAACTGACTACAAATTCATTAAAAACAAAATGAAATGAGCACATCTTGAAGATTTTTCACAACACATAAACAAACCCAGCAAGACAACTTTTTTATTCAAAATATTTTGCCTATATAAGTATAACAGCTGCTGTATCAAATTTGTGTGTTACTTGGAATTAGGTATTACGACATCTGAGGTTGTCTGTAAAGATTGACAATTTACATATACAATAAAATATATGAGGTTTACTCATGAATTTAAAACTTTGACAGTGGTAGGCGAGATCATATGAGATATACACCAGTTGTGGTAGCAGAGTGCACACCTCCATGTATTATTATCTCTTTTGGAAACAGTGGGAAAATAATTAAGGCCTCCATATCAAGCTAATAAATGATTTTCTCATCATATACCTGAAGAATTCAATATCATTGCGGACAACGTCATATGAGGCCACTATCAGATTGTGTTTCTTCACCCTCTTCTGAAGCCTGTCATTAAGAAGAATATTCAGAATATAACACAATATTCTTACATTTACAAACATCATTTATATAGCAAGTCAAAACAATTCGTAAAACACAATTCAGAATCAAACCATTTATCTTGTAATTTTTACAGGGTCTGTATTTTACAGTTGAATCATACTGCAAAATCATTATTTCTTGTGGGTTTTTTTATTTTTGTTGAATTCACGGTACTATGAATCCACAAGTTTCCATGTCCATGAAATGATGAACAGATAGAAGTTGACATGGATTTAGTGCATTATGTGAGCAAGATTTATCCATGATATCAAGAGCCAATGAAAATGCTTGTTTTTGTAAAACATAATTATCCAGTACGTTTACATTTCTCAATGATTGCCTCTAATAATGAAAACAATAAGGCCTAACATCTTTATTGGTACAAAAATCAGAATTAGAGAAACCCTCCTTTCACAAAAGATAGCAGAACAATAATTGAAGACTTATACAATAAAATAAATTTAGTATAACAACATTAATGTTGATCTTGAACCAGTTTGAAACACTCAGCTTGGTTCCTGCTACTCTTAAGTTGGCACCACTTGTTACTGTGATATAGTTATTTAATACAAACCTGACTCGTTCACTTGGAGGCCCTGCATACATCAGAGGATTTAGATACTGCTGGTCCACAAATTTCTGAACCTCGTAAACCCAGTGGCCAATCAGAGTTGGAGGACATATCACTATTGAAGATAATGGAGCACAGTCTGGAATCTTGTTTTTCTGTAAATATAAGGTCAGGTGATCTCTGTACAAAACATAGCTACTTCTAATTCACTCTTGTTTAAGGTTATAACCTACTCTAAAGTCTAAAGATTACCTTAAGGTGACATGCATCTGCTTCCAAAAAGAGTTTCACATTATAGGAATTTTACACTGCTGTTTTCCTCTGTCTAGAAACACTCCAGTCCAGAATAGAGAACATATTGTCGCATTTGAAATATTTACCTACCTGGTAAACAATTAACTTCAGATTATTAAAATATAATTAAAAGAATGTGATGTTATCATGGGATTTCATAATAGGGACCTTGTATTTTTGATCACGAAGGTAGTGGTCACTAGCCAGAATACAGATGGACTGCAGTGTTTTCCCCAGACCCATGTCATCACACAGTATGCCATGCAGAGAGTACTTGTTCAGGAACGCCAGCCAGTTTACACCATCCTTCAAATATTCAAAATCTTAATGAAACTGACATTTCTCTGAATTTTGTCAAATAAAATATTTTCATGGTTTAACAAAAAAATTACTATTTCGTGGACCTTTGATTTTTGTCAATAATTATCGCTCTGTAAATCAGCTTATATTAACTATTCATGGACAAAGAAATTTGGGGATTAAGAGTGCCTACAAAATTGACGAAAATAAATGTCCCACAAAAATTAATGATGTTGTAGTAACTTTGGCTTGATTCAAATATCAGTAAAAGTTCTCAAGGAATAAGTTACTGAAGACAAACTTTTTTAGATTTCTAGATAGATGTGATTACCGTACTCTCCCTGTACCTGTTGGTATTTGCGGAGATCTGCATCTACAGGCACTGAAACTTGGTAACTTTCCACTTTGGAACAATCCATGAGTTGTTCTAAAAATTTCCGCTGCATTTCTTTCTGGGCTGCTAATCTTGGATTCATCTCTGGTGGGTCTGGAATACTTGCCTTCAGAATGAAAAACACAATTACTCTGATACCATATTATATTAGTAAAATAAATGATAAATGTGCATCCAGAAAGACATTTCATCAGCAAGCCATCAGCTTTCTTAGTTTCGTACTACATTTTAGCATGTTAACAACCATCACGTTATTTGATGCCAATCCTAGAATCTAAAGAGCTTGGAAAAAAAAAAAATTTATCTCAGACAATACGGCATGATAGATCCTCTAGTATTCCATGTGACACCTAAATCTTCAGCAATGTTATTGTTTGTAAAAAATGTGATATTTACTTCCAGTGGCAGGAGTCGAATCAGGGAAGCAAAGCTATTGGTAGAAAGAAGACGGACAGCATCATTCTGGTCACTCATACGACCTAGGATTGGGACAACCAGTAGCACTATGTAAGGCAACAGGTCCACTCCCATCTGTTCTATCACATCTGGACACTGGTCAAGGATACAACTCGCCAGTCCAAGCAGGACAAAACACACTTTCTCCCTACACCTCTTTGGTTACTTTGGCAATAGGCCAATCAGACATAAACTATGCTATGAAACAGTTGACCTTTGACCTTTATGATATGTACTTGAATTAAGGTCAAGCGAGCATCACCATTTTTTTTAACTTCGTTTTTTACTATATTATGAGTGTAAGCTACTTCATTTTCTTGAAAATAAAGCCTTGGACAAAACTATATTGGAGAACTGGACAGGTAAATTGACAGTTTTGATAAATCACACAGACAGTTGTTACAATAGATATCTAAAAATAGCAACACTAACATCACCTTTTATCCCAATGGTACAAGTGATAAGTCACCTTCAGTTTTCAAACCTCATTAAAAATGCTAAATATAATCTTATTGTTATATAAAAACCATGAGAAATAAAAAATGCAGAAATGGAATTTCAATTTGCACGAAAGAAATTCATGAATGATAGAAACTAATGCTAAATTCTTCCTCAAGGTTATTATATATTTAGAGAATTCTGGTTAGGATCAGGTAACTTTTATAACAAGAAATATTTGAGAGTACTTTATTGTATGGCAAAAACCTTAAACATCATCCGAGGGATAAAAATTTAGTGGATACCACAACTATACACATGGATCTTTCATCTTTTTATTTGTTGGATTTTATTTTCAAAGAGTATGGCCATGAAAAGAATCAAGTTTCTTGCACAACCAACATTTAATTTTATGCAGTATGTGTTGAGGAAGCCGTGTTGATCTTTCTCCTGCCTTCAACAAACACTTTCCAAAACCCTGTCTTATTTACTTAGGATACGTGATAGAGCTTCTACTGCTCCCTGTCTTTGACATTCCTGGTCTGAGGCTCCAAGGAACGGGATCACACTTTCCACACAAAAGGTCATCAGGTCAGAGGTCATAACCCTTGAGAGAGCCCCAACACAGCGGGCAGCCATGTGCCTCACAGCTGTATAGGAACATTGAAGACATGTCAGTAAATTTGGAAGCTTTTCCACAATCTGAAAAAGAGAGGAGTTAAACTATAATATGACTTGAACAACCTGATGTCGGAACTCTCATACTAGCTTTATTTTATTTATCTATTTATTTTCAAAACTTTTGGAAATAACAACCAAACATACATATAAACAGAGAATATCTTGCACATTTCATATTTAGCTATTCATCAGCCAAAGGTATTTTTTTCTTTGTGACAATTAAGATAATTAATGATTAAAAAGATTTATACTTTTTGTGAGTTAACTTTTCACATTATCTTACAAACCCAGTGAAAAATCTTTGTGACACATTGGCACATTTGGACACTTTTTAACATATTGATACATTGGCACTTTCACCTGTGAGACAAGGGTTGGGTCCAAGGAAGCACACACACATTCAAGCACCTGTAGGCTATGGACAAGCTCCTCAGCTCCATCCTCTTTCAATTCCCAGTGAGAATCTACATCTGTAACAATTATAAATTAAGTCCCCATGTAATAAACCCCACTCTTCAATCCTCTGTGAATTTTTTGAAATCCATACTTGTATATTGCAGAGGAAATGTAAGCACTGCCAGCAACTCATTAACCACCCTGAAAATAGTTCATCCCCAAACCAAACAAGTATTTCCAACTTATATTAATCCCTCTTGTTGACCCAGAGGGAGGAAACAGAAGTTCTTTTGAAAAACCCAAGTGTTAAGGCAGATGACCCCATACCTTTCAGTAGTCGAAACCCCAAATAAATGGGGAGTGTTATGACTGCACCATCTGACCATCCTATCGCTACATCTTAATATCAACTACCACCTGTACTTTATAAATCAACATATACTGTCATTTTTCTCGTAAGTTTAGCATGTAAGAAGAAATATATAACAGAAAATACTCTGATGCTAAATTATAATCATTTGCAGTAGAATTGCTCATGTGTCTTCAAAGACATGAGAGAACTGTAGACTGTGGGAACCCGTGATATTTGATACCCAGACTTCCTTCTGGGGACCTGACACAGCTAATACCAAGTCTCAAATGTGGGTCACTGCGAGAGCTGATACCCAGACTTACCTGTGGGGAGCTGAGAGCTGATACCCAGACTTACATGTGGGTCTCAGAGAGAGCTGATATCCAGACTTACCTCTGGGTCCCTGAGAGAGCTGATACCCAACTTACCTGTGGGTCATTCAGACAGCTGATACCCAGACTTACCCGTGGGTCCCTCAAAGAGCTGATACCCAGACTTACATGTTGGTCCCTGAGAGAACTGATACCCAAACTTACCTGTGGGTCCCTGAGAGAGCGGATACCCAGACTTACCTGTAGGTCTCCGAGAGAGCTGATACCCAGACTTAACTGTGGGTCTCTGAGACAGCTGATACTCAGACTTTCCTGTGGGTCGCTCAGAGAGCTGATACCCAGACTTACCTCTGGGTCCCTGAGAGAGCTGATACCCAGACTTACCTGTGGGTCCCTCAAAGAGCTGATACCAAGACTTACCTGTGGGTTCCTGAGAGACCTGATACCTAGACTTACCTGTGGGTCCCTGAGAGAGCTGATACCCAGACTTACCTGTAGGTCTCTGAGAGAGCTGATACACAGACTTACCTGTGGGTCCCTCAGAGAGCTGATATCCAGAGGGTCACTCAGATAGCTGATACCCAGATTTACCTGTGGGGACCTGAGAGAACTGATACCCAGACTTACCTGTGGGTCCCTGAGAAAACTGATTCCCAGACTTACCTGTGGGTTCCTGAGAGAGCTGATACCAACACTTACCTGTGGGTCCCTGAGAGAGCCGGTACCCAGACTTACCTGTTGGTTCCTGAGAGACCTGATACTCAGACTTACCTGTGGGTCTCTGAGAGAACTGATATCCAGACTTACCTGTGGGTCCATGAGAGGGCTAATACACAGACTTACCTGTGGGTCCCTCAGAGAGCTGATACCAAGACTTACCTGTGGGACCCTGAGAGAACTGACTCCCAGACTTACTTGTAGGTCCCTGAGAGAGCTGATACCAAGACTTACCTGTGGGTCCCTGAGAGAGCTGATACCCAGACTTACCTGTGGGTCACTCAGAGAGCTGATATCCAGACTTACCTGTGGGTTCCTTAGAGAGCTGATACCCAGACTTACATGTGGATCCCTGAGAGAGCCGGTACCCAGACTTACCTGTTGGATCCTGAGAGACCTGATACTCAGATTTACCTGTGGGTCTCTGAGAGAACTGATACCCAGACTTACCTGTGAGTCCCTGAGAGGGCTAATACACAGGCTTACCTGTGGGGACCTGAGAAAGCTGATACCCCGACTTACATGTGGGTCCCTCAGAGAGCTGATACCCAGACTTACATGTGGGTTCCTGAGAGAGCTGATACCAACACTTACCTGTGGGTCCCTGAGAGAACTGACTCCCAGACTTACCTGTAGGTCTCCGAGAGAGCTGATACCAACACTTACCTGTGGGTCCCTGAGAGAACTGACTCCCAGACTTACCTGTAGGTCTCCGAGAGAGTTGATACCCAGACTTACCTGTGGATCCCTCAAAGAGCTGATATCCAGACATACCTGTGGGTTCCTTAGAGAGCTGATACCCAGACTTACATGTGGGTCCCTCGGAGAGCTGATACTCAGACTTACCTGTGGGTCCCTGAGAGAGCTGATACCCAGACTTACATGTGGGTCCCTCAGAGAGCTGATACTCAGACTTACCTGTAGGTCTCCGAGAGAGCTGATACCCAGACTTAACTGTGGGTCTCTGAGACAGCTGATACTCAGACTTTCCTGTGGGTCGCTCAGAGAGCTGATACCCAGACTTACCTCTGGGTCCCTGAGAGAGCTGATACCCAGACTTACCTGTGGGTCCCTCAAAGAGCTGATACCAAGACTTACCTGTGGGTTCCTGAGAGACCTGATACCTAGACTTACCTGTGGGTCCCTGAGAGAGCTGATACCCAGACTTACCTGTAGGTCTCTGAGAGAGCTGATACACAGACTTACCTGTGGGTCCCTCATAGAGCTGATATCCAGACTTACCTGTGGGTCACTCAGATAGCTGATACCCAGATTTACCTGTGGGGACCTGAGAGAACTGATACCCAGACTTACCTGTGGATCCCTGAGAAAACTGATTCCCCGACTTACCTGTGGGTCCCTGAGAGAGCCGGTACCCAGATTTACCTGTTGGTTCCTGAGCGACCTGATACTCAGACTTACCTGTGGGTCTCGGAGAGAGCTGATACCCAGACTTACCTGTGGGTCCCTCAGAGAGCTGATACCCAGACTTACCTGTGGGTCCCTGAGAGAGCTGATACCCAGACTTACATGTGGGTCCCTGAGAGAGCTGATACCCAGACTTACATGTTGGTCCCTGAGAGAACTGATACCCAGACTTACCTGTGGGTCCCTGAGAGAACTGATACCCAGACTTACCTGTGGGGACCTGAGAGAGCTGATACCCAGACTTACCTGTGGGTCTCTGAGAGAGCTGATACTCAGACTTTCCTGTGGGTCGCTCAGAGAGCTGATACCCAGACTTACCTCTGGGTCACTGAGAGAGCTGATACCCAGACTTACCTGTGGGTCCCTCAGGGAGCTGATACCCAGACTTACCTGTGGGTCTCTGAGAAAGCTGATACCAAGACTTACCTGTGGGTTCCTGAGAGACCTGATACCTAGACTTACCTGTGGGTCCCTGAGAGAGCTGATATCCAGACTTACATGTGGGTCCCTGAGAGAGCCGGTACCCAGACTTACCTGTTGGTTCCTGAGAGACCTGATACCCAGACTTACCTGTGGGTCTCTGAGAGAACTGATACCCAGACTTACCTGTGAGTCCCTTAGAGGGCTAATACACAGGCTTACCTGTGGGGACCTGAGAAAGCTGATACCCCGACTTACATGTGGGTCCCTCAGAGAGCTGATACCCAGACTTACATGTGGGTTCCTGAGAGAGCTGATACCAACACTTACCTGTGGGTCCCTGAGAGAACTGACTCCCAGACTTACCTGTAGGTCTCTGAGAGAGCTGATACCAACACTTACCTGTGGGTCCCTGAGAGAACTGACTCCCAGACTTACCTGTAGGTCTCCGAGAGAGCTGATACCAACACTTACCTGTGGGTCTCTGAGAGAGCTGATACCCAGACTTACCTGTGGATCCCTCAAAGAGCTGATATCCAGACTTACCTGTGGGTTCCTGAGAGACCTGATACCTAGACTTACCTGTGGGTCCCTGAGAGAGCTGATACCCAGACTTACCTGTAGGTCTCTGAGAGAGCTGATACACAGACTTACCTGTGGGTCCCTCAGAGAGCTGATATCCAGACTTACCTGTGGGTCACTCAGATAGCTGATACCCAGATTTACCTGTGGGGACCTGAGAGAACTGATACCCAGACTTACCTGTGGGTCTCGGAGAGAAGTGATACCCAGACTTACCTGTGGGTCCATGAGAGGGCTAATACACAGACTTACCTGTGGGTCCCTGAGAGAGCTGATATCCAGACTTACCTGTGGGTCCCTGAGAGAGCTGATACCTAGACTTACCTGTGGGTCCCTGAGAGAGCTGATACCCAGACTTACCTGTAGGTCTCCGAGAGAGCTGATACCCAGACTTAACTGTGGGTCTCTGAGACAGCTGATACTCAGACTTTCCTGTGGGTCGCTCAGAGAGCTGATACCCAGACTTACTTCTGGGTCCCTGAGAGAGCTGATACCCAGACTTACCTGTGGGTCCCTCAGGGAGCTGATACCAAGACTTACCTGTGGGTTCCTGAGAGACCTGATACCTAGACTTACCTGTGGGTCCCTGAGAGAGCTGATACCCAGACTTACCTGTAGGTCTCTGAGAGAGCTGATATCCAGACTTACCTGTGGGTCCACGAGAGGGCTAATACACAGACTTACCTGTGGGTCCCTCAGAGAGCTGATACCCAGACTTACATGTGGGTTCCTGAGAGAGCTGATACCCAGACTTACATGTGGGTCCCTGAGAGAGCTGATACCCAGACTTACCTGTGGGTCCCTGAGAGAGCTGATACCCAGACTTACATGTGGGTCCCTCAGAGAGCTGATACTCAGACTTACCTGTAGGTCTCCGAGAGAGCTGATACCCAGACTTAACTGTGGGTCTCTGAGACAGCTGATACTCAGACTTTCCTGTGGGTCGCTCAGAGAGCTGATACCCAGACTTACATGTGGGTCCCTCAGAGAGCTGATACTCAGACTTACCTGTAGGTCTCCGAGAGAGCTGATACCCAGACTTACTGATACCCAGACTTTCCTGTGTCCCTTAGAGAGCTGATACCCAGACTGAGAGAACTGATACCCAGACTTACCTGTGGGTCCCTGAGAGAACTGATACCCAGACTTACCTGTGGGGACCTGAGAGAGCTGATACCCAGACTTACCTGTGGGTCTCTGAGAGAGCTGATACCCAGACTTACATGTGGGTCCCTGAGATAACTGATACCCAGATTTACATGTGGGTCCCTCAGAGAACTGATACCCAGACTTACCTGTGGGTCCCTGAGAGAGCTGATACCCAGACTTACCTGTGGGTCTCTGAGAGAGCTGATACCCAGACTTACCTGTGGGTCCCAGAGAGAGCTGATACCCAGACTTACCTGTGGGTCCCTCAGACAGCTGATATCCAGACTTACCTGTGGGTCCCTCAGAGAGCTGATACCCAGACTTACATGTGGGTCGCTCAGAGAGCTGATACCAAGACTTACCTGTGGGTCCCTCAGAGAGCTGATACCCAGACTTACCTGTGGGTCCCTCAGAGAGCTGATACCCAGACTTACCTGTGGGTCTCTGAGAGAGCTGATACCCAGACTTACCTGTGGGTCCCAGAGAGAGCTGATACCCAGACTTACATGTGGGTCCCTTAGAGAGCCGATACCCAGACTTACATGTGCGTCCCTGAGAGAGCCGGTACCCAGACTTACCTGTTGGTTCCTGAGAGACCTGATACCCAGACTTACCTGTGGGTCTCTGAGAGAACTGATACCCAGACTTACCTGTGAGTCCCTGAGAGGGCTAATACACAGGCTTACCTGTGGGGACCTGAGAAAGCTGATACCCCGACTTACATGTGGGTCCCTCAGAGAGCTGATACCCAGACTTACATGTGGGTTCCTGAGAGAGCTGATACCAACACTTACCTGTGGGTCCCAGAGAGAGTTGATACCCAGACTTACATGTGGGGACCTGAGAGAGCTGATACCCAGATTTACATGTTGGTTCCTGAGAGAACTGATGCCAAGACTTACCTGTGGGTCCCTGAGAGAGCTGATACCCAGAGTTACCTTGGGTTCCTGAGAGAGCTGATACCCAGACTTACCTGTGGGTCCCTGTGGGTTCCTGAAAGAGCTGATACCCAGACTTACCTGTGGGTCCCTCAGAGAGCTGATACCCAGACTTACCTGTGGGTTCCTGAGAGAGCTGATACCCAGACTTACCTGTGGGTCCCTGTGGGTTCCTGAAAGAGCTGATACCCAGACTTACCTGTGGGTCCCTCAGAGAGCTGATACCCAGACTTACCTGTGGGTCCCTGAGAGACCTGATACCTAGACTTACCTGTGGGTCCCTGAGAGAACTGATTCCATGACTTACCTGTGGGGACCCGAGAAAGAGGTTGAGAGACAGTTTCCCAGAACTGGGGTAGAGAATTTGGTAGTTTGTCTCCTAACTGGCGAGTGATTATGTTGAGGGACAGGTCTGCACCACGTCTCTGGATATTTAACTGTCGCTGGGCCTTGGAAAAATTAAATCCTGGTATGAATTCCTGTGATATATTTGTTACATTCTAACAGTTTCAGAAATTATAATTAAGACACAACTATAATTTTCTAATTATATACACATATAAACACTTGCAATTTTGTATATTCTACTGTAACTTTTGCCTGTGTTGACCAACATCTTTATAATATATGTATAAAAAAAATGAAAATATGATGTACCATACTCTGCTGTGCTATTCTCATTGTCAATTTCAGAGACATTAAATTAACTTAAAACTCTCCAGATGCTAAGTCAAATTAGTCAAGAGTTAGATTATATAACAAAATTCCCTCCATTGAATTGAGTGACTTTTGTTGTGGTTTTTTCCGCAATTTTCCAAAAGCAATCCTTTTGAAAATAACAGACAACAGAGTATTGTGGCAGAACAATAATGTGACCCTGTGTTATTTATCTTGACACTAGGAAATACTTTACGCAGTGCTATGCTGTGCTATAACCAGAAATGCTGTATAGAATTGTTTGTACACTAGTGGAAGTTATTTTTAGAACCAATCAATACTACAGCGACATTTTCAATTGGTTCAGGAAAAGGGTTGGGGTCTGGGGGCTGGTATTTACTACACATATTAGCAGGAATACGGAAAATAATAATTACACATTTTTTTGGGAAATTTTCTCGTTATTTTATTTTTTAAAGGTTATCATACTTGAGCAAATATTTATTCAAGTTCAATACAATTTTACATATTTTGAATTATGTTATGCAGATTTATTTTGTTAATTATTCATTTTAAAAACTTCTTATTCAGTAATTATTATGATCCATACACACAACAAAACAACCCATATAATATCAATTTTTTTGTTCAAATCAAGTAACAGTTTTAGAATTAAAGCATTCATTGATGTGTTGTGTCTGTTCACTAATCAAATATCACATAATATGTACTTGGTCTTTGTCTTGATCAATATTTGTTTTCTTCTGGTCAATATCACAGCATATTAACCAAGTAAGGTCAATATCCCAGCATATTAACCAAGTAAAAAGTCCATAACTGTTCTATCATATAATCAAGAAATATTGAAGAAGCAGACACACCATACCACTCCATCTTTTCAGGTTGTCATGTGATAATAAGAGCCTGGATGTTAGCATATTTCCAGAACTAATTTCTAGTGGTGCCTGATATATCCAGTTTTCCGATATTAACTGGTTTTCTGATTTCAACTGGATGAACCGAAAATATCCAAATAATATCACAAAGGCCACGCTTGAGGGATTCTTCCAATGACAGATGGCATGCAGTCACATTATATGATAATGAACTTTATTTCACTCTTCTTTACAATTGTGCTTAAATATGAAATATGAGAATCCTGACTTAGTCATGGAATCATTTGACGGTCTGGTGCTACTGTAGCACTTTTAAGTGACAACAAGGTCAAGTCAAGGTCAGAGTCACATTAAGGTCAACCTGAACTAAAGGTGAATGAAAATGAAGACATGTTCTAATTTCAACTGGATTGCTTGGAAGCTACAGAACTCAAAACCTATACTTGGTGACAGCCAGATGGAACTAAAGGCCCTGATGAAGTGTTTTACTGACATTTTTAATTTTTGGGGTATTTTACCTCTACTACAGCATGGTAAATAATTCTGAAATGGCTTCACATTTTGTAATGCAGCGTGGGAAGTAATATTGCATAATAAATTGAATACTAAAAAATATTTTGTCAAATGTTTGTGGCAATTTGCTTATTTCTCAAGACAGAAAAAAATTCAAAAGCATACAAAATATTAAACTGGTTCATAAGTTCATGCATTATGTAACCATATGCTAGTACAAGTTATCAAAATTAACCAACTTAATGAAAACTGACTAAACATCATGGACACAACTGTAGTGTCTGAAACTATCCCAAACCTTCATTACCTCAACATTGTCATGTGTAACATCAGCAGGGATATCTACATCAACTTTGACACTAGGGGTACGACGTAGCCACTTCCTTCCATTGTCTGGGACCTGTACAACAGAAACAGTTGTGTTTATTTTGAGAAAAGTTAAAATATACTGCATGTAAGGATGTTTCTTGATCTTATTCTATTTAAGACACATTAACTTCATGATAACTTTCGTCATGAAAATGAACTAAGGACAATTAATTTGTACACCACATGGCTCGAGATTTCAGACAATCTTGGAGAAATCCCTTTCAATATTTGGTGATCTTTAATAACTATAAATATATACTGTCTCTTTTGTGTGACAGATTAAAATGAGAGAAAACTTCAAAACTTCACTCTGAGCTCTGCTTATCATGCTGCACCCATCAGGTTCAGATATGTGAGCTGTTTTGTTTTTTGGTTTGACCAGTTAGACCAGCATTGTTCATTAATGAAATACAGATGGGTCTACTGATCGTAGTTTGCTATCTCACCAGCTTCAACCTGTATTATTAAGTGCAGGTCATCTCAATTTATGAATGAAATCTAGCATTTAAGAACCAGTTTGTCTGCATGAAGAAATTAAATCCAGGTTTGCTAATCTTCATGTAGAGTCTTTACTGTGACACATATTGTACCAAATTACTGTGACACTTATTGTACCAAATTACTGTGACACTTATTGTACCAAATTACTGTGACACTTATTGAACCAAATTACTGTGACACATATTGTACCAAATTACTGTGACAGTTATTGTACCAAATTACTGTGACACTTATTGTACCAAATTACTGTGACACTTATTATACCAAATTACTGTGACAATTGTTGTACCAAATTACCATGAATCTTATTGAACCAAATTACTGTAACACTTATTGTACCAAATTACTGTGACAATCATCATACCAAATAACTGTGACAATTATTTTACCAAATTACTGTGACCATTAAACCAAATTACTGAGACACTTATTGTACCAAATTACTGTGACAATTATAACAAATAACTGTGACAATTATTTTACCAAATAACTGTGACACATATTGAACCTAATTACTGTGACTATTATCGTACCAAATTACTGTGACACTTATTGTACCAAATTACTGTGACAATTACTGTATCAAATTACTGTGACACTTATTGTACCAAATTACTGTGACACTTATTGTACCAAATTACTGTAACACTTATTGAACCAAATTACTGTGACACATATTGTACCAAATTACTATGACAATTACTGTACCAAATTACTGTGACACTTATTGTACCAACTTAGTGTGACACTTATTGTACCAAATTACTGTGACAATTATTGGACCAAATTACTGTGACCCTTATTCTACCAAATTACTGTGACACCTATTGTAACAAATTACTGTGACAATCATCATATCAAATAACTGTGACAATTATTTTACCAAATTACTGTGACATTTATACCAAATTACTGTGACACTTATTGTACCAACTTACTGTGACAATTATAACAAATTACTTTGACACTTATTGTACCAAATTACTGTGACACTTATTATACCAAATTACTGTGACAATTATCGTACCAAATTTCTGTGACACTTAACATAACAAATTACTGTGACACTTATTGTACCAAATTACTATAACAAATTACTGAGACATTTATCGTACCAAATTACTGTAAGACTTATTGTACCAAATTACTGTGACACTTATTGTACCAAATTACTGTGACAATTATAACAAATAACTGTGACAATTATTTTACCAAATTACTATGACAATTACTGTACCAAATTACTGTGACACTTATTGTACCAACTTAGTGTGACACTTATTGTACCAAATTACTGTGACAATTATTGGACCAAATTACTGTGACCCTTATTCTACCAAATTACTGTGACACATATTGTAACAAATTACTGTGACAATCATCATATCAAATAACTGTGACAATTATTTTACCAAATTACTGTGACATTTATACCAAATTACTGTGACACTTATTATACCAAATTACTGTGACACTTAACATAACAAATTACTGTGACACATATTGTACCAAATTACTGTGACAATCATCATATCAAATAACTGTGACAATTATTGTACCAAATTACTTTGACAATTATTGTACTGTAACAATTATTGTACCAAATTACTGTGACACTTTACATAACAAATTACTGTGACACTTATTGTACTAAATTACTGTGACAGTTATTGTACCAAATTACTGTGACACTTATTGTACCAAATTACTGTGACAATTAGTGTACCAAATTACTGTGACACTTAAAATAACAAATTACTGTGACACATATTGTACCAAATTACTGTGACAATCATCATATCAAATAACTGTGACAATTATTGTACCAAATTACTTTGACAATTATTGTACTGTAACAATTATTGTACCAAATTACTGTGACACTTTACATAACAAATTACTGTGACACTTATTGTACTAAATTACTGTGACAGTTATTGTACCAAATTACTGTGACAATTATAACAAAAATTACTGTGACAATTATTGTACCAAATTACTGTGACAATTATTGTACCAAATTACTGTGACAATTATCATAACAAATTACTGTGACACTTATTGTACCAAATTACTGTGACACTTATTATACCAAATTACTGTGACACTTATTGTACCAAATTACTGTGACAATTATCGTACCAAATTTCAGTGACACTTAACATAACAAATTACTGTGACACTTATTGTAACAAATTACTATGACAATTATTTTACCAAATCACTTTGACACTTACTGTACCAAATTACTGTAACACTTATTGAACCAAATTACTGTGACACATATTGTACCAAATTACTGTGACAATTATCGTCCAAATTACTGTGATAATTATCGAACAAAATTACTATGACACTTATTGTATCAAATTACTGTGACATTTATGGAACCAAATTACTGTGACACATATTGTACCAAATTACTATGACAATTACTGTACCAAATTACTGTGACACTTATTGTACCAACTTAGTGTGACACTTATTGTACCAAATTACTGTAACACTTATGGTACCAAATTACTGTGACACTTATTGTACCAAATTACTGTCATAATTATAACAAATAACTGTGACAATTATTTTACCAAATTACTGTGACACTTATTGTACCAAATTACTGTAACACTTATTGAACCAAATTACTGTGACACATATTGTACCAAATTACTATGACAATTACTGTACCAAATTACTGTGACACTTATTGTACCAAATTACTGTGACAATTATTGTACCAAATTACTATGACAATTACTGTACCAAATTACTGTGACACTTATTGTACCAACTTAGTGTGACACTTATTGTACCAAATTACTGTGACAATTATTGGACCAAATTACTGTGACCCTTATTCTACCAAATTACTGTGACACATATTGTAACAAATTACTGTGACAATCATCATATCAAATAACTGTGACAATTATTTTACCAAATTACTGTGACATTTATACCAAATTACTGTGACACTTATTGTACCAAATTACTGTGACAATTATAACAAATTACTTTGACACTTATTGTACCAAATTTCTGTGACACTTAACATAACAAATTACTGTGACACTTATTGTACCAAATTACTATAACAAATTACTGAGACATTTATCGTACCAAATTACTGTAAGACTTATTGTACCAAATTACTGTGACACTTACTGTACCAAATTACTGTGACAATTATAACAAATAACTGTGACAATTATTTTACCAAATTACTATGACAATTACTGTACCAAATTACTGTGACACTTATTGTACCAACTTAGTGTGACACTTATTGTACCAAATTACTGTGACAATTATTGGACCAAATTACTGTGACCCTTATTCGACCAAATTACTGTGACACATATTGTAACAAATTACTGTGACAATCATCATATCAAATAACTGTGACAATTATTTTACCAAATTACTGTGACATTTATACCAAATTACTGTGACACTTATTATACCAAATTACTGTGACACTTAACATAACAAATTACTGTGACACATATTGTACCAAATTACTGTGACAATCATCATATCAAATAACTGTGACAGTTATTGTACCAAATTACTGTGACACTTATTGAACCAAATTACTGTGACAATTAGTGTACCAAATTACTGTGACACTTAAAATAACAAATTACTGTGACACATATTGTACCAAATTACTGTGACAATCATCATATCAAATAATTGTGACAATTATTGTACCAAATTACTTTGACAATTATTGTACTGTAACAATTATTGTACCAAATTACTGTGACACTTTACATAACAAATTACTGTGACACTTATTGTACTAAATTACTGTGACAGTTATTGTACCAAATTACTGTGACAATTATAACAAAAATTACTGTGACAATTATTGTACCAAATTACTGTGACAATTATCATAACAAATTACTGTGACACTTATTGTACCAAATTACTGTGACAGTTATTGTACCAAATTACTGTGACAATTATCGTACCAAATTTCAGTGACACTTAACATAACAAATTACTGTGACACTTATTGTACCAAATTACTGTGACAATTATTTTACCAAATCACTTTGACACTTACTGTACCAAATTACTGTAACACTTATTGAACCAAATTACTGTGACACATATTGTACCAAATTACTATGACAATTACTGTACCAAATTACTGTGACACTTATTGTACCAACTTAGTGTGACACTTATTGTACCAAATTACTGTGACAATTATTGGACCAAATTACTGTGACCCTTATTCTACCAAATTACTGTGACACATGTTGTAACAAATTACTGTGACACTTTACATAACAAATTACTGTGACACTTATTGTACTAAATTACTGACAGTTATTGTACCAAATTACCGTGACAATTATAACAAAAATTACTGTGACACTTATTGTACTAAATTACTGACAGTTATTGTACCAAATTACCGTGACAATTATAACAAAAATTACTGTGACAATTATTGCACCAAATTACTGTGACAATTATTGTACCAAATTACTGTGACAATTATCATAACAAATTACTGTGACAATTATAACAAGTTACTGCGACACTTATTGTACCAAATTACTGTGGCAATCATAACAAATTATTGTGACAATTGCAACAAATTACGTACAAATTATGGCAGGCAGATTTCAGTGTCAGTGTACATTGAGATACAACAAAAAATGGGAAGCACAAGACAGAAATACAGACAGACTGTGTGTATACTTCAAATCCAGTAAAGTTAGGGAGGTATCAAGTTCTAAACAATTGCCAGAAGCTGTTTTTCTCCGCTGAAGTAAATTCTATGAAATCAATATGTCAGATTCAAAAGTTGGCAAACTGTACTCATAACACAGATAAGCTGGCTTCATAAATACTCATAAATAAATTATCCATAAATGTTAGCGGTGAGAACTCACTTTTTGCTGTTTTGTCAGTGTGAGGATCCCAGTGTGTTTCCTACATGGAACTTCATTTGATGGACTACTCTCTGTAAGAGAGAATGTACAGAAACATTATCAAAACCATGCATCATATTGTGTCATATTCACCTGCTATTTATATTCAAAATCATCTGGATTACATTTTTCTCCTTTTTCCTTAAATGGAACATTATAAATTATCATCTTGTGTTAGAGCAGAATTAACTCATAGAATGAAGAAAAACACTTGTCATTGTATTTTGAACTTGACATTGAACGAAATTCTTCAATCATTAAGACTTCTGTTAAACACATGATACAAAACCTAATTTAATCAAATGACAATTATGTATCTCTGATTTCACTAAAACCAGCTGAAGCTCATTTTGATATTTTATCTAGTTTCATTCATAAGCCTAAAAAATATCCCTACACCAGATATCTATACGATAAGTTTTAGTAAACATCTCTTATAGTATTGTCATTCTAAAAACAGCCTTAGTTTTGTATTTGCAGTGGAACAATTGAACAAACAACTGACCAGCACTGTAGGAGGTAGTGTTACCTGAGGAAGGTGGGGCTGGTGACTCAACTTTAGGGGTGAAGCTAGGATCCCCACACAGGAATCCACACAAATTCTTCACCACTTTACCATTGGGACTGGGACTTCTACCGACACATTTCTGGATGAGGAATAAAAGGCAGTCGCCTGCCTCCCTCTGTAAACAAAAAACACATTATCAAATGATGCCTTATTTTCATGTTTCTCAAACTCCATTTGTACACACCTAAAAGTATTCTTCAAACTTTCAGTGATGAAATAGATTACTTACAGATAAACTGATGAATATCAGCAAAAATATTGTAAGCAAGTCAAGAATAGAATAATGAAACAGTCTGTAAACTGAGGTGTTGCTAAATACCGTCTACCTGTCAGAGAGATAACACATAAACTGGTCTATTTATCTAAAGATTTTTTGCCTTCAACAACAACAACAAAAAGTTCAATTTCAACATATTGGGTCAACAATGGTTTTAATATCTACTTTAAAATTAAGTAAATTTTGAAGCAAGAGCTGGGCAATTTCAAAATGTTGACTTGAAAATAAAAAGAGTAAAGAAACTTGAAGGAAAAATATTTGACAGGTCACACTTTTCTATATAAACCTACGTTTGGAATGATTTTCTTTACGACTGACCTGTATGTTGATGTTGCTCTCCTTTTTGATACAATCCATCAGTGGACGAATTACAGGGTTCAGTTTATCAGGGAGGATATCCATCATCACCACAGCTTTAGCCAAGCTAACCTGAACTCTGTATAACAATAGTCACAACCTTGGACAGAGCATTGTGTTATCTACTTTTTCCCCCTATTTTGGAGAAATTCTTTTTTTTCTCCTCTTCATTTTCATTTTTTACTTTCATTTTTCAAAGATTTTTTCATTTTGAGAAATTCTTAAGTCTTCTTGCATATTGCAGATATTTATCAGTCCAAGTGAACAACCTTTTGATCATACTGCAATTTGACTGCAATTTATAAGGTGTTTAAACTCTTTGTGATCTTACTGATGTGAAGGAAGAGAATGATACAGTGTTTTAAAATAAACCACAGCAATGGATGTAACTGCTGTAAGGATCTTAATTATGAGGTACCCATATCTACTTTGTAAAAATATATTTCATTCTTGAAAACAAAAAAAAAAAAAAGCACATTTTAAAATATCATTTACAGTACATGTGGGGTGTAAAAAATTACAGTACATGTGGGGTGTAAATAATTACAGTATATGTGGGGTGTAAATAATTACAGTATATGTGGGGTGTAAATAATTACAGTATATGTGGGGTGTAAATAATTACAGTATATGTGGGGTGTAAATAATCACAGTATATGTGGGGTGTTAATAATTACAGTATTTGTGGGGTGTAAATAATTACAGTATATGTGGAGTGTAAATAATCACAGTATTTGTGGAGTGTAAATAATTATAGTATATGTGGGGTGTAAATAATTACAATATATGTGGGGTGTAAATAATTACAGTATTTGTGGGGTGTAAATAATTACAGTATTTGTGGGGTGTAAATAATTACAATATATGTGGGGTGTAAATAATTACAGTATATGTGGGGTGTAAATAATTACAATATATGTGGGGTGTAAATAATTACAGTATATGTGGGGTGTAAATAATTACAGTATATGTGGGGTGTAAATAATTACAGTATATGTGGGGTGTAAATAATTACAGTATATGTGGGGTGTAAATAATTACAATATATGTGGGGTGTAAATAATTACAGTATATGTGGGGTGTAAATAATTACAGTATATGTGGGGTGTAAATAATTACAGTATATGTGGGGTGTAAATAATTACAGTATATGTGGGGTGTAAATAATTACAGTATATGTGGGGTGTAAATAATTACAATATATGTGGGGTGTAAATAATTACAGTATATGTGGGGTGTAAATAATTACAGTATATGTGGGGTGTAAATAACTACAGTATATCATACTTTACTATGACTTATAGCAGATATTGTCAACATCCTGACTTCTAACACAAGGACATACCTGACAGTGAGAGTTTGAAGTTCCTGTGTGGTGTGTTCCACAATGGAACGCAGTTGTTTCCTTCTGTCCTCAAATGTCTGAAGAGCATTAGGTTTTAATGTAATTTTGACCTGATCGTAAACTGTACTGGTCAAGGATGAGGCTTGTTCCACAGAAAGGATACTCCTAGTGAACACATGATATCTATATTATTTCAGCTCAATTATGTGGTCCTTTTGTATAGAGATTTTGGCAAACTTAAAAGTTCATCACCTTTGTCTGATGTAGACAAAGTTCTATCAAATCAACATTACCGTGATAGACCACGAGGCAATCAAACACCACTAGACAAAGTACATAATTTCACTACTCTGCGGATATTGCACCCATATTTCACCAAGATTGCAAGAGTTTGAATATCTGATTATGTGTGAAAAGAAATCTGTCACCTCCTGAACACATTGCTTTTAAAAGTCCCTGCATGAACAGGGAGACAGTTGGAGATGTAGAACACAATTATTTATCCTTCTGTCAATATATTTCCACATATATGCTCAATTAGGAACAGCTGTGCAGAGCCAAACAATAAACTTAGATACATTATCATATCAACTAAAATGTCCTTGATGAAAACAAAATACATTGTGAAAATATTATAGAACTATTCCTACAAAACATTTTAGGGATTTGAGTCCACATGAATCCTTTCAACTACATACCCTGGAGGAATGATAGAATCCATGTCGATGCCTTGCTGTTTCAGTCCAGCTATGAAGTTCTGACAATCAGACTGCATATGGGTGAACGAAGCAGCAATTTCATCAAAGTAGATGGCTTCATTAAGGCACTCTAGTAGCTTGGATTTAGTTTCAGTTGTGCAGGGACAGTCCTAAATTTGAAAAAAAAAACTTAAAATGAAATATTTTGATTGTCAACAAAATATGAAAATGAAGAAATATCAAATTTTGTTCACTTCTAATTTGAAGCTATCTTAAATGATTAAATTACATCAGGGTAGGGTCAAAGGTACAGCAAGAAAATTACAAATTCATTTGTACGCATCTTGTTAAATGATTTATTGTCAGAACAATGAGATGTGGGATATGGGTACACTTTTCAATCTCAAGACATATCCAATTATAAGCTTTGAAACAAAACTCAAAGATGAAATTACCTTTGTTACAGATGCCCAATAATACAGAACTTGGCCAACAATAAAGCGCTGAATAGCGGACTTATTATTCATGTGGAAGAGGAAAAGTTTACTGAGGGAGTGAATTGGTTTCTCTGCCTCCAAAGGATAATTGGGCACTTCCCTGGTAATGTAACTACACAATATTCCAAGTAACCTGAAGCAAGGAAAGTTCATCAGTTGAAAATAATACATAATTCTTTATTTAATAAAAAATACACATTACATACCAGGTAGAAGAATATACCATGATATCAAAAACGTAATATAAAGCCCATGTTTGATAATGAGAAAACCAGTATATTTGTCAGCACCCCTATCAGCACAGTCCTTTAATAACCAAGATAATTTGTTGGCCGATGACACTTACTGCAGGATTAACACAGTACATTTTCTGCTTTACATTCATGCTGTATCAACTTCATCAAAAGTCCAAACTAAGTCCATAGTATGCATATAGAACAGTATCCAAGTGATTTGATTTATATTGTATTCCTTCAAGTTTAGTGATTTAAAAATAACTGATGAGGTTTTAACTGATGAGAATTCACCTGAAAAATCTGCATAAACTTCAATCGGGTGTGACTTCATAAAGTGTCAAATGATGGCAGAGAAACACACAGCTTATAGGAATACATAAAGCATGTCTGAACAAAGTGCTCATGCATTTTCCCCTCACTACTAATAACAAAATAAATGTTACATTTGAAATTCTTATACCTTGAAGTATGCATTCTGGCTTTCATTACAGCTGTGTCCCGTTCTCGGACATCACTGTTGAGCATGTTTGTACTGGCGATGTAGTCTTGTTGCTCCTTCTCCTGTCCGCCACTGACTCGTTGTCGTCCAGAAGTAACCTCCAACTGGATTATGATTGTAAAAACATTAATTTTCCCATTTTAACAAGATTTTCATCTGGTCCAATAATACCTAAATTCTGTTTTTTTTTACAGTGCTGTACAAACACATAGGAGTGGGAAGCTTTCACTCAAAAACACACTGTGCTGTTGAAACTAGGCAAGGGGCTAAGCTTCCACTGAATAACATCCATCAAATTCTTTTGCAGAGCACGGTAAAAGATAAGTCATTCAAAGGAGGAGTGCCAATTTGGGCCTTTTGGCGGCCATGACCGATATTTTTTATTTCTTGTGTAGGAATTCCTTGGGGTTAGGCGGTCATGATATGACATAAAATTAAGGTCAGATCTGAGCCATTCATTAGTTATGGGGGGGTAAAGTGGGGGGTAAAATTCATAAACAGCTCCATTATGACAAACCTACATTATATTTTTGGATTTTTTCTTCTTAATTTTCATGTAATAATCCATATCAAAACATTCATTAGTAAAATTGATTGAAAAAAATATTCCATTGTTGAAAAGTAGGTCATGGTAATTAAGCTCATTAATTGCGAATTATATTAAAGATGAACTTAATTTTCTGCCTTAATGTACATAAAAACAATACCTTTATCATGTACCATGTTTTAATAAGAAATATTTTTGCATACTTTAAAGAAAACAAAGAAGAGGCGGTGCTTTGAATTTTAGTTCGACAACTTTGACCATATGTCTGTATCTAGTGGTTTTACCGAAGTATTAACACAGAAATGGCTAATGAAAGATATCAATCTTAACCTCTAGTGTTGCATTTCACTCCACTATACATACAATGGTCGTACACATAGTTAGTTACTCATTGTCACTGTCAGACTCAGACCAGTCCTCAATCATCATTGCGTCATCAGCACAGCTGAGGTAGCTTGATGAGGCAGTTGGGTGTGCTATCCTAGACTGGTGTCGCTCATAAGAAAGGTACCAGAGAACAGATGCAATATGGGCACAGCAGCCCACTACCCTGGCACCAACCTTACACTGGCAATACCAACCAGATATAGGAGTCAAACCAGGGGAATACTCAATCCACAGGTTGTACAGTTTCGAAGCAACATGTCTGGAACGAATCTGAACTTTAATTAAGCCAGGCTTTTCCCTGCATGCCATTAATACATACTGGCCATCTTCAGACAAGTGCTCCATGGTATATGACTTTGCCTGCTTCAACTGATATACTCCCATGGTAAGATCTCTCAACTCCGGTTCTGTCAGCTGAGGAAAGTCAGGCAAACTGGCCTCATCAAGCTTGACCCATATGGCTCTTTTCCTAGCCAAACCTTCTTTTTCAACTTGAATTTGCAATTTATTGGGACATTTTGACAGAGCCAACATTCGCTCAGCAATGATGAGGTCATTGGGAGAATCAGAGGCAAGTGGGGGGCGAAAAGCATTACAAATTGCACACACAATTCTCACAAAATCACCTACAACTGGAATGAGAGTGTTGGGCAAAACATGTCCCAAGGTCTTCCACTGCTTAATCCGCCCATTTGCCGACTCCACAACCCACCTTACCTTTGTTACAAGACGAGATTCGTTTGCCTCAGTATGTGTGTGTTGTTTCTGCCCCTTTGGCAAGAAAAATGGCATTTCTGTTTTGATGCCAGCATCATTCAACAGTTCTGTCACATCTCTGAAGCCTCTGTCAACGACAAGAACATCATCATCTTGAAACCAATCCTTGATGTTCTCAGTGTTAGTTTTCAACATGTGTTTTGTAATGTTGGCGTCATTATTTCGACCGTCTGCTAAATATGGGCCTAGGACAGACAGTATATAGCCATCTGAGGCCACAAGAAGCATTGGTTTCAGGAGAGGGCATCCTTTGTGCATCGAAAAAGAGCGTCATTGGAAAGTATAGTTGCTGGACTTTTCAACATAAATATATGTGCCATCAGCAACAGCTATAGCGACATCTTCACCAGAGGCAAACATCTTCCTTGCAAATACCGTTGTATGGTTTTGAATTACTTGTTCTCTAGTGATGTGTTGCAGGCCAAGGTGTGAAGGAACGAAGTGGGTCATCAATGCTTGGCGAGCTGAATAAAAACATTTTCCACATATTCTCTTTGTCATGTTGAACAGAGAAGCTAATATTGATAAAGACATGCCAGTCCTCAACTTTACAAGCAGGATGGCTAATGCAGTCCTTGCGCTTCTGTTCAGTGTAGAGTAAAGAGAGGGATTAACTGATCCTAAAAGGTCAGAAAATTGATTTTTATACAGACCTGTGAGACGGTAGTAATCTTGATCAGTTAATCCATCTGAGGAATCAAAGTCTAAACAACTTTTCTTTGAAGCAGCTGCCCTAAGTGCCAAAAGGATCTCTGATATTTCAGAAGAATCCAGTTCAGTGTCTTTGCTGGAATATGCGAGTGAAGATAGACTATCAGATGGGAAATCACCATTCACTATGTGGGAAGAACAACATCTGCAGGTGTTTGGGACAAGGATACCTGTCTTAATAAAAATCTTTACTCGCATTTCTGTTGAGAGCATTACCATTTTACTTTTACATTCCTCTCTTAACATTTTACAAATGAAACATCGAGATTCACCTAATGTAGCCCGTGGAATGTCAAGTTAGATTTTTTTGTTTTCAGGTGACTCAAGCTGGTGCTCTACATCGCTACTAGGATGTTCAGTAGATGAATGGTGATTGTAGTATCTTCCCCTGCATTTTTTACATACGGGGTCACCAAACCTTAAGGCATCATTAATATTTGCTTTCAAGTAAGACAGAATGTCTGTTTTATTCAGCCTTACTTTACATTGTGCTTTACAACAAGCGCACTGCCTGTGCACTGGCATATTGATAAAAGAAAAGAAAACAGGGCATAAACTTAGAAAACACTCCTTATTAAAACCTTAATTTGGATGAACAAAATTATGAACAACAGTTGAATTACAATTATATGTCTAAATTATATGTACAATATCAGTGACAGTCAAACCAAGAAAGTATACTAAAATCGCTGAGGTTGTGAAGTGTAGTTGCCACGTATTAATTGTATATATAAGGGTATATGAACTGTCTGAGACAAGGTGCACATGTATACTCACCGATAGACACAAAGATCCTTAACAAGGTATATGTCAGGGGATGGCATTATATCCCGCCATTTTAGCTTAAAGCTCAACCAGCCGTACCAAACTGGTTTAAATATCTCTACATTTATCAAGCAATTTATTTTAAACAGTTCTTAATGCAGTACAATTTAACATTTATTTATTAGATATTTATTATCTAATATAATTACATAAGACAACTCTGATATCAACCAAAAGTTGTCAAAAGTGTGAACCCGCCCCCTCCCATTAATTAATTCTCCATTTTCTATAAAGTATTCAAAAATAAATCTTACTAAAGCATGACACATGATAAAGGTGTTGTTTTTATGTGCATTAAGGCAGAAAATTAAGTTCATCTTTAATATAATTCGCAATTAATGAGCTTAATTACCATGACCTACTTTTCAACAATGGAATATTTTTTTCAATCAATTTTACTAATGAATGTTTTGATATGGATTATTACATGAAAATTAAGAAGAAAAAATCCAAAAATATAATGTAGGTTTGTCATAATGGAGCTGTTTATGAATTTTACCCCCCCATAACTAATGAATGGCTCAGATCTGACCTTAATTTTATGTCATATCATGACCGCCTAACCCCAAGGAATTCCTACACAAGAAATAAAAAATATCGGTCATGGCCGCCGGAAGGCCCAAATTGGCACTCCTCCTTTACTGTGCAAAGGAAACAATTTATCGCTTGCCTGAACCATCACTACAGAAGTGTTCAAACGTACCCGTCCCCGATGCTTTGCTTGGATCAGGTATGTTGGCTCAAATGGGACTTTAGAAGGCTGCATACACAAAGACAGCCATACACCTAGCCAAGGAGTTGCCATGGCAATGAGATGTTCTATAGGTGTCTTGGAAAGCAGTTTTGACCAAACTTCTCCAACTGTGATCAGAACATCATGCCGTTCCTCAAGAAGGCTGCGCTGTATGAGGTGCCGCAAAACATCCTGGAGAATCAGTGGCAGCCATGCGTTTGTAGGATGCTGCAACATATAACAATACAAGAGGCCCAGAGGGCCTGTATCGCTCACCTGGATCTTTATGACCAACATTACTATATCTATGCATATGTTCCACATTTAACACATTTGACCCATGTGACCTTAACAATGAGTCAAGGTCATTTCTTTTACTTTCTTGGACTTCATAAAAAGAAATACTGGCCAAATATAATGATTCTAGACTTTTTGATCTTTCAGAAGAAATTGTTTAAACATTTTAACACATTTGACTCCTGTGAACTTGATGATTTGTCAATGTCATTTCTTTGTAGGACACCTCAAGAGGAACATAGTAGCCATATATAATGATTCTAGGCCTTCCGGTATTTTGAAAGTAGTTGCTTAAAGTTTTTAACACATTTGACCTCTGCGACCTTGAATATGGGTCAAGGTTATTTTTTTTCACAAACTTTGTTGGGCTTCATCAAAGGAACCTTCCAGCCAAATACAATGAATCTAGGCCTTCTGGCATTTTGGAAGAAGTCGTTTAAAGGTTTTAACATATTTGACCTCTATGACCTTGAATATGGGTCAAGGTCATTTCTTTGTGCAAACTTTGTTGGGCTTCATCAAAGTAACCTTCCAGCCATATATAATGATTCTAGGCGTTCCTGTATTTTGGAAGAAGTTGTTTAAATGAAAAGTTGATGGACGCCGGCCGGCCGGATGACAGACGAACAGACGCAGTGCTAGGGCATGTGAGCTAATAAAAGGAAGATCTGTCAATTATGTCAAAACCTCGAGGGAAAATGAACTACAGCCCCATCTATAATGGCAAAGAAGATTTTAAATCAGATCATTTTCATCAACAGCCACAAGTAGCTGAGCGATGTACATGTAGTACAGCCATAGCTATTTTCAACACATGCTCGTCGTCAAGTGCTAGCTGGATCATCATCTATAGAGATCATGGCCTAACTTTAAAGGGATTCCATACATGAATAGACAAGATGTTGCAATATGTACGTCTGACGGAGTGCCCAGCACTTTTCCTCAGTAACCTGACAATATTATCTCTGCAGGCCTCATCATTCAGAAGCAGTGTGACTGTTGGTTGTTGCTTACCAATATACATAATGGTGTCAGACTGAATAGCTTAAACCAAAACAACTTGATAATTATACTTTGCCATTTAAGAGGCATAATTCCAGAAGTTCTGAAAAAAAATTTGCTGAAAGTTGAGATACAATCATATAACTAGCATTAAGCCACATCAAATTGTATACATTTCTTCATTTTTTATGGTAACAGCCAGGTCCATATGGGCACTGGTGTCAAGAGGGAATCCAAAAGTGGAAAATAAAGCATAGGATGTAAAAAATAAGAGGAAACAAAGAGAATGGGCAGCAAGATATACCTGAACACTTTCTATATCCAGTAGAGTGCTGAATGTCTGTAGAGCTGATTTCCTCACAGATGCTATGTTGTGTCGCAGGAATGGCCAGAGTCTAGGGACAAGGTCAGTTAAAGGAGTAGTCAGCCTGAAACATAACAAGTATTGAGTCTCTGTCTTGTCCATCCTTTAACATACACAGAAAGACTTAAACCAACTGTAAAGTGTTTTTGATCATTCTGTTTAATTGATTGAGTTAGCAATTATTTCAATAATAAATTATCAAATAATTTGAAACCAGTTATAAAACCATATTTTCCTTGTTAATATATGTATGTTACCAAATCAGTACTGAGACTTTGGAAGGATTGTGCTTACCAGTCTAGTACAGAGGCTCTCGGATGAGCCATGATTGTTGACAGGAGTGTCATAATACTGTTTGTTGAGGATGTCAGGTCATCCAAGTCCAGAAGCGTATGCCAGAGGCTGGCCACAATCAGGGGTACCTAAATAATATTTTGTAACAAAATCTTCATCGTGATCAACATAACAGAATACTTTTTTAAAGTTCACAACTGGATACCCAAACAAATAATCATTTTCAGATTTTTATAATCTTGGACTACATGCAGGAACAGCTTAACACAGAATATTTTCAAAATACAAGAGGCCCATGGGCCTTAACGGTCATCTGACAAAAAGCAAGCCAAACCTAGAAAGTGGGTTGAGGTCATTCATTTGAACAAACTTGGTAGCCTCTCCTCCAAGCATCTTACAGGCCCAATATCAGCACTCATGGACTTTTGCTTGTTGAGAAGAAGTCGTTTGTATATTTTAACATATTTGACCCCTGTGACCTTGAAAGTGGGTTGAGGTCATTCATTTGAATAAACTTGGTAGCCTTTCCTCCCAGCATGCTACAGACCCAATATCGGCACTCATAGACTTTTGCTTATTGAGATGAAGTCCTTTGTATATTTTAACATATTTGACCCCTGTGACCTTGAAAGTGGGCCAAGGTCATTCATTTGAACAAACTTTGTAGGGCTCCATGCCAGCATGATATGGGCCAAGTATTAGCCCCCTAGGCCTTCTAGTATTTGAGAAGAAGTTATTTAAAGATTTTGACATATTTGACCCCTGCGACCTTGAAAGTTGTTCAAGGTCATTCATTTAAATAAACTTGGTAACCTTTCCTCCCAGCATGCTACAGACCCAATATCGACACTCATAGACTTTTGCTTATTGAGATGAAGACCTTTGTATATTTTAACATATTTGACCCCTGTGACCTTGAATGTAGGCCAAGGTCATTCATTTGAACAAACTTTGTAGGGCTCTATGCCAGCATGCTATGGGCCAAGTATTAGCCCCCTAGGCCTTCTAGTATTTGAGAAGAAGTTATTTAAAGAATTTGACATATTTGACCCCTGTGACCTTGAAAGTTGTTCAAGGTCATTCATTTACACAAACTTGATAGCCCTTCATCCCAGCATGCCACAAGCACAATATCAGCAATCTGAGCCTTTTGGTTATTGAGAAGAAGTTGTTTAAAGATTTTAACATATTTGACCCCTGTGACCTTTAAAGTGGTTCAAGGTCATTCATTTGAACAAACTTGGTAGTCCTTCATCCCAGCATGTCACAGGCCCAATATCTACACTCTGAGCCTTTTGGTTAATGAGAAGAAGTTGTTTAAAGATTTTAACATATTTGACCCCTGTGACCTTGAAAGTGGGTTGAGGTCATTCATTTGAATAAACTTGGTAGCCTTTCCTCCCAGCATGCTACAGACCCAATATCGGCACTCATAGACTTTTGCTTATTGAGATGAAGTCCTTTGTATATTTTAACATATTTGACCCCTGTGACCTTGAAAGTGGGCCTAGGTCATTCATTTGAACAAACTTTGTAGGGCTCCATGCCAGCATGCTATGGGCCAAGTATTAGCCCCCTAGGCCTTCTAGTATTTGAGAAGAAGTTATTTAAAGATTTTGACATATTTGACCCCTGCGACCTTGAAAGTTGTTCAAGGTCATTCATTTAAACAAACTTGATAGCCCTTCATCCCAGCATGCCACAGGCACAATATCAGCAATCTGAGCCTTTTGGTTATTGAGAAGAAGTTGTTTAAAGATTTTAACATATTTGACCCCTGTGACCTTTAAAGTGGTTCAAGGTCATTCATTTGAACAAACTTGGTAGTCCTTCATCCCAGCATGTCACAGGCCCAATATCTACACTCTGAGCCTTTTGGTTAATGAGAAGAAGTTGTTTAAAGATTTTAACATATTTGACCCCTGTGACCTTTAAAGTGGGTCAAGGTCATTCATTTGAACAAACTTGGTAGTCCTTCATCCCAGCATGTCACAGGCCCAATATCTACACTCTGAGCCTTTTGGTTAATGAGAAGAAGTTGTTTAAAGATTTTAACATATTTGACCCCTGTGACCTTTAAAGTGGGTCAAGGTCATTCATTTGAACAAACTTGGTAGAGCTCCATGCCAGTATCCTCTGTGCCAAGTATTAGCCCCCTAGACCTTCTAGTATTTGAGAAGAAGTCGTTTGAATGAAAAGTTTACGGACGGCGCACGGCGCACGGCGGACGGCGCACGGCGCACGGCGGACGACGACGGACGAAGCATGATGACTATAGGTCATCGGACCCTTCGGGTCCAGATGACCTAATGATCTAGGATCAGGGAAATTGTGCATAGATCTCTTTACTGTTATTTCTAGAAGTTGCAGTACAAACCAACTTTGCTGCCATTTTCTTAAAGAAATGACACAAATACTTTTCACAGAAAAAACGTTTCGGAAAATATTCAGAAAGTAAGAGACATCATAAAGTCTACCTAGCAAAGTCTACATGCAGATCAAATATTAAATACTTTTCCCAGTATAGTTTCAGGCATGATGCAATAAATATCAAGCCTTTTGAGAAATCACATTTTTTTTTTACATCTTCAGATACAATCCTGAACCTCTGCTACAACTCTGAACTTATGCTCCATAGTGGCTTCCTCAGTTACCTGACCAGGCAGCAGAGAAACCACACTGTCAGCCACTGGCACCAGAGCTGCAGCTGCTACTGCACGTACATCATCGCTGATGTCCTGTAGACCTTGGAACAAACAAGGAAGGGTCGCTGGCAATAGTTTGTCTGTCATATCCTAAAACACATTTGCTCTCCATCAGAAAAGCATTCACTCATCAAGTACACAAACTTTCTAATTATCTTGAATTCTGGATCTTATACTGAAAATGGCTAAAGCACAGTGGTGAATAATGAAAGCAGCATTTGATAGCCGTCCTGATTTTAATTCGGATAGACTGAATTTGCAGATTTACAAACATAACACAGGGTAACATATTGCTTTCAATTCCAAATTGTTTAGTTTTACTTTTTTTCAAAAGAATACAGAAATGGATTATGACAAACTGTTTGACAAAACTAATAAATTAAAAGGATCTGACAAAGCTAATTACTTATTGGTTTTCAGCAGAAACAATCTGTTTATATATGAAAATTCTGCGTCGCCTTTGGGCAATTAACCAAAACTGGCATTTCATTATTTCATTACAAACACATATTGTCAGATGTCAGGAAACAGATCAGTATAATTTGAAGTGATTTTAGCTTGATTTTGACAGTGAGCCAGATATACTTACATGATATGAAATTTTTATAGGTTTAGACAGATTACTTCTTAGTCTAAAGTCACTTGATTAGAAGTGATGATTGACCTTTACTTTGAAATGATACTGAATGCAAGTCTTCATTACCTTTCTGATCGCCAAGAGGTACTTAAAGCCCAATAATCCACCATGTCGCACCTCCCACTGTCTCTGTGCCAGCAGCTGAAGCAGAATGTGGACCACGCCTTCCACTCCCCAAGGCTCCAGACACCGCACTACCACTCCAAGGGTCTGGGCACATGTTTCCCGCACTGGGGCAACCACCTTTAAGCATGTATGAACAGTCTTGATAACAAAATCCAAAATTTACAATAATGAAGTATGATCAGTTTACTAGCGACAAGATAAATTCAAACCTGACTGTTATGTAGAAAAGTTTTCACCATCATACTCTTCATGTAGTTATTCTGAATCTTAATCTGTTATGGACTTACCTCATCTGACACATAGTCCCCAAATCTGTCGAGGGCAATCACACATACCAGCCTGAGGCCCAGGTCTGACAGCCAAACCTGGTTAATGGTCTTAACCTGGGAACAGTTTAAAGAGAATAATGAAAGTAGCATAAAGTGGAAATTCACACTGTAAAGATTCAGACAAATGCTGAAAATAAGCAGAGAAAAATATAGAAATTTTGTCTATTTGGATAAATAATATGATGCTAAAGTTAGATATCTAGATTGAAGGGCTGGTAGAAGAGACAGAAAATGAATTCTTGGGTGTCATAACCAATTCTAGCTAACCATCAGTTCTGAAAGGAAAGTCCAGTATTATGCACACCAAACCACAGTAGATGATTTTGCAACCATCAAAATATTATTTTGCGAAAACTAACACCAGTCATTTGTCAAATTGTTGAAATCTTTTATTCATCCCTATTCCCCATTTCCACTTATTTCCTCTTTCCAGTTTTCATCCTTTTTTACTCTTTTCAATTTTCATCCTTATTTTCCTTTGGCAGTGATGAAGTTATTCTTAGTAGATTTGTTACCAGTGAGTATGGTGTAATGCTTCATTCAAGGTTCCTTACCTGGTCTGCTGGTGTGTCAACAGACATCCCAGCTGATTGACCATGAAGTTTGATTACTTCCCGTAATCCTGTGGCAGCTCCATGACGACTTTCCCAGGTACTCTGAAATAAGTCGTTCATCAGGAGCTCACAGAAGGTCTCAAAAGGCCACTCCTCTACCTGAAACCAGATACCAAATATCAGAATCAACCAGGCGCAAATCTAAATACAGCCACAAATACAGTCACAAATACAGACATAATCAAAGAATTTTTATCAGTTTACAACAATCATGGCACTAAAGATTACAGATTATCAGAAAAAATTGCTATTTTGAAAACTTGCACTAACCTCTTCCATATTTAAAGTATTGTCATTCGAGCTCTCCATCACAAGCTTCCCATCACTGCCAAGGTCAAGTTCATTCCTAGACTTTGCCTTTTTACATGGTGGTTCTGTTTCCAATGTCATTTGTTCACTGAAATATGCATCCATAAGAAATGGCTTAAAATGTTTCTTTCAGGATTTTCAGAATTACCTCCCTTCAACTTATAATTCATTGGTTATTTTTGTGATCAATCATGGTTCCAATCCAGCCTGAAGATTTTGATCATGTATTACATGTATTCTATGGTACTTTTTATCCCAATTAATTGATCCATGACTCAATGATTACTATTATACTAATCCAGTAATAAGCCCATCAGGTAAAAAAATCATCAATTCATAGATACTATTTCTTGTACTGTAAAATTCCCTCCAAAGACTTTGATGTTGGAACCCTGGGTTTAAGGAGGGAAAGTCCCACTTCTGATCATTTGAGTGCATATGCAACTTTTTTTTCCCAAAGAAAAAAAATCTTAGCTATGACTGCTCCAATTTATATGCAACAGAACAATAACAAGATGCACACAGGCCTTAATGGTCATCTGACTATCAAGACCTATATAAAACAAGAGGCCCAAGGGGCCCTAACGGTCACCTGAGGAATATATGTCAATAATCTGGGGATTTTAAAATGTTGCAAAAATGTAACAACACTTGTGCAGGACCGTGTGTAAACATCTGTACCAAGTTTGAACATGATCCACCTGGTGGTTCTTGAGAGGAAGTCCAAAATGTCTTAGCCAAACAGAGGCCAGGGTGGCCATCATGGATTTTGAATACTCCCAAACACTTGCCAAGACCTTGTGTAGAACATTCGTATCAAGTTTAGACATGATCAACCCAGTGGTTAATCTGACTGTTGGTTCATGCGTAGAAGATTTTTAAAGATTTACCTAATTTTACCACCCTTTTCCCCCTCCTGGGGCCCCTATTGGGGCCACGCCCTTTTTCTTCGCACACTTGAAGCGGCTTCCCATGGGAATGCTTTGTGCCAAGTTTGGTCAAAATCCATCCACTGGTTCTTGAGAAGAAGTCATTTAAAGAAGGTTTTTACATATGGCCCTTTTTACACCCCTTATTGGCCCCAAAGGAGACATTATCACTTTTTTCAACATACTTTCATATGTTCTTCACTAAGGGATGCTTTCTACCAAATTTGGTTGAAATTGGTCAAAGTTGAATTTTTGACCCTTTTAAGTGCCCCCTAGTGGGGCCGTTTCTGACCCGATTTTTTTTTCATTCGCAAACTTTGTAGACCTTGCCATAAGGACCCTAAATATGAAATATGAACTTAATCTGACTATTGGTTCATGAGTAGAAGATTTTTAAAGATTTACCTAATTTTACCCCTTTTTTCCCCCTCCTGGGGCCCCTAATCGGGCCACGCCCTTTTTCTTCGCAAACTTGAAGCGGCTTCCCATTGGAATGCTTTGTGCCAAGTTTGGTCAAAATCCATTCCGTGGTTCTTGAGAAGAAGTTGAATATGTGAAAAATTAACGACGCACAACGCACGACGACAGACAAATCATGATGGCAATAGCCTTTGGCTCAGGTGACCTAAAAAGGCCTAAAATAAATTCCTCAACTACTCTACAACTTACAAAGATGACATCATTGGTTTATAAAAACATTTTCTGCAAACTTGACATCATATTCTTTATACACGATACTACACCATGTAGAAAAAGAAATTGTAAGATTTCAACTCACTTAACCCAAAAGAAGTTGTTTGAAGATTGTAATACATTTGACTCATGTGACCTTGAAATTAAGTCAAGGTCATTTATTTTAACAAACTTGGTTGACCTTTGTCCTTCATTATGTTATAGACTCAACATCAACACCCTGGGTCTTTTGATTATTGAGAAGAAGTCGTCATTTGAATGGAAAATTTACGCATGGCAGATGGTGCAAGGCACACAACGATGGACAAAACACAATTGCACAGTACTGACCTCTGACATTCTTTAGATCGCTGTTTAGCCAGTATTTTGGCCTTCCTCTTGACTCTGTTTTTCTCTCGAGCACTCATTCCTCCAGTCACTAGCAACAGCTGTTGTTTCACAATATCTGACACCGATTTCTGTAATAAATGAAGGCATTTCTATGTTAAAAAAATCAGGCTACAAATTATCACAAGTATATAAATCTTAAAGTCACATCAACAAAAACACCATGAAGGGCAAATAATCAGGTGACATATTATCTTCCGTTTTCTAATCCTTACATTGAGAAAAAACGTCTTAAAACAATCTTTTTTTAAGTCGGCAATGATAAAATGCAAGAAAAATTGAAATTTTTTGTTCACAATTCACAATTGTTGCCATTGGCATATATCATTCATACTGAGGCTCTGAATGCATTTACTTTGGTTTTCATAAATACAAACTCAACCAAAACAAAATTCTGTAGTAGATCCATAGGTAAGATCTCGATAATTTCATATTTGAATGTTGTATGTTTTGGTCTGCAATGGGACATTAACAGTAGTCATCTCTACTAAACGATGAAGACAACACAAAACACATACAATACCTGGTCTTCCGTGTTGACACCGTTGCTGGATTTGATACCCATAATTAGGTCATCGTCAGTGAAGATATCAGAGCCTATGCCGAGACCAAGATTTCCAGCCACATCCAGACCAAGCCTCTTATTCAGCATCTGCCTCTGTCTACTTAACTGTTCCTTGTCCGCCAATTCTGCTTATAAGGTCAAAGGTCAAATAATTACTATAGTAGACCTGTAAACTTTTCTTCTTGAGAGAAAAATCACAACCTAATTATATACATGGTTTTACAGTATAAATCTTTGCAGATGAGCCTACACATAAGTAATCGTTGATTTTGTAACTTGAATCAATCAATTACAAGTACTTACGAGTTGTGCTGTTATCAACCTCATACATCTTTTCCTCGGACCCCACCAAGGATGCACCATAATTGAGGACTTTGTTGAGATCAAATTGAGCAAATAATAGTTGTCCAGGAGACTGTACACAGCTGGGGTCACTCTGGGGTTCTGTAGCACATGCATTTCATTTGAAATTAGACAAATCGGGATTCAAGTACATCATATTATTAACTCAATGAACCGCAGAATGACTTATCATCAAAAGAGATGTCTGTTCTGACATTTCTAAGATTTATAATTGACCAAATTCTACACCTTGTTCACTTAGCTTGTAACTTCTTGTTAAAAAATCCTCCTTAAATTTCAAACTAAGAAAACCTTAAAACATTTCTTGAAATATCAATTATACCTGTTTACACTTCTGTAAGATAATAATTTTAGATTTCAATTCAAATACAATACAGCTTAAATATGGCACTATTTTAACTCTTATAGAGGGTTGTTACCTTGTTTTGGGACTAGTTTGGCCTCCCATTTAGGAACATTTCTTGCTATAGCTTCAACTGCTTGTCCAGCAGCAATCCTTGTCTCCCAATTAGGACTCCGTAAGTAGCCATGTACCTTAATAAAAGAACAAGATCGCAAAATCATGAGGTGAAATAATTCTCTGTTCAGATTGTAGCTGGTAGCCATGCACCAGAATTAAAACTGTTAACTCTAAAGATTAAATAATACTTACCTTATTCGATCCAATAAGCGCCCAGGGCACTTAAAAAATTGCAATTAAGGGGGGCGCTTATTAGAGACCATCTTAGATGTAAAAGAAACACATTCAGTGCTAAAAAAACTGCCTCCACCAGGAACTTTCCATCTCCTTTTTGAGGTGTTTTGTAAAGAGGTTTTCAATTCACTCTCTTTTTATCTCCAATCGCGAATTCGCTTCCTATTTATACCATACTGCTTTGATGCTTTGCTGTTTCCCCATTCCTTGGCAAACTCCACAACTTCTAACTTGAAAGAAATTTCATACGACTTGATTCGACCACCTGTGTGAGATTGTGATGTGTCTGTGGTCGCCATAATTTCAGTGTCAACCTCTATGTAACAAGGTGCACACTGTCATTATGCGGTCGTCGATATATTGTTTCAAATCATCTTAACATGAAGACACGAAAGGGAATTTATTTATGATAAAGATATCAAATTCCATTCATACTTGCCTGTTTAGCACAACTATTTTATTTGCCATCTGATATCTAACTGCTTAATTTGTTTCTGTCAGATAATATATCACACATGAAAATATCATTTCTTAATTTGGTGTATCAATGGCTATTTTACCTGTTAAGTAATGGACTATGCGTATTCAGTCTTCGTTACTGTGGCTGAGCGCGCGACACCAAGATACACAAGGTAGAGAATGTTGGAAACCATTCATAGGACAGTGCCTTGATACAGTTATAGAGAATAATAATCCGTTTGACAAGTTTGCAACCAGAGTTGTGAAAGAAAGGAAAACAGTGGGTCACATTCAAAGTGAACTGTCAAAAACAGCTAATTTTTTTTATCAGGCACGGTGGGAACATTGTGATAGAGCTACAGCAGACACTTATCAACATTCCTCTGATGCTGGTGGACTGGAGATTTACTGTTTTTTACGTTTTTCTGGAGTACATCTCCTTATAAACTGACTAATAACAATTCTTGATCATGACTAAAATGTAAGTAATTCTCGACTTTTAGGTATCTGAAGAGGGGAGGGCGCTTATAGGGACATGGGCGCTTATTGGGTCAAATACGGTAGTTGAGATCTATGGCATTGACATACAAGAGGCCCATGGACCTTAACAGTCATCTGACATACCTCATAAACAACCTGCAAAAAGAAATACATAAATCCAGAAACTGTTTGCCTTTAGGGACTCTGAAAAAATCAACTGCTTGAGGATAAAACTTCTGCATGTTACCCAAGACAGCAGGTGAACTAGTACAGATAAGGTTTCAATAGCTTACTCAGCAGAGAAAGTAAACAAAAATACAAATTGGATTTCAATTGCTTACTCTATACAGAAGGTGACCTAATACAAATTGGATTTCAATAGCTTACTCTATAGAGAAGGTGAACTTATGCAAATTGGGTTTCAATATTTCACCCAATAGAGAAGGTGAACTAGTACATATTGGGTTCCAAAAGCTCACTCTATAGAGAAGGTGAACTAAAACGAAATAGGATTCAATTGCCTATCGAATAGAGAAGGTAAATAATACAAATTGGGTTTAAACAGCTTACTCAATACATAAGGTGAACTAGTACTGATTGGGTTCCAAACTCTTACTTAATACATAAGGTGAACTAGTACAGATTGGGTTCCAAACACTTACTCAATACATAAGGTGAACTAGTACAGATTGGGTTCCAAACACTTACTCAATACATAAGGTGAACTAGTACAGATTGGGTTCCAAACACTTACTCAATACATAAGGTGAACTAGTACAGATTGGGTTCCAAACACTTATTCAATACAGAAGATTAACTAGTACAGATTTCCTTTCAACAGCTTACTCAATACAGAAGATTAACTAGTACAGATTGGGTTTCAACAGCTTACTCAATACAGAAGATTAACTAGTACAGATTTCCTTTCAACAGCTTACTCAATACAGAAGATTAACTAATACAGATTTCCTTTCAACAGCTTACACAATACAGAAGATTAACTATTACAGATTTCCTTTCAACAGCTTACTCAATACAGAAGATTCACTTATACAGATTGGGTTTCAACAGCTTACTCAATACTGAACGTGAACTAGTACACATTGGGTTCCAACAGCTTACTCAACAGAGAAGGTAAACTAGTACAGAACGGGTTTCTATAGCTAACTTAATACAGAAGGTTAACTAGTACAGATTGGGTTTGAACAGCTAACCTGATACAGAAACAGAAGATGAACTAGTACATATTGCGTTTCAGTAGCTTACCTTTGACAACAGATTGTTTAGTTCATAGGGATGAAGTTTCTGAACTTCCCCCAGTTGTTCAGCTGCCGACTTCCTAATCAGTGGTGTAGACCCAGTGTCAAGAAGCAGAAACAATCTGTCTAATCTGCAATCAAATAAAAATGGTTCAAGTATCAATTAATCTGTCAATCAACTCAACTATGCTGAGTACCTAATGGTACCTTGTTTTATCAATCAAAGCAAAGAATATGAACATATAAATTGGCATTTCTTTTGAAAATTTAACTTAGACCTTAAATGATTTGAAATACTAAACAAGAAGGGTGTTGGACGTATACTTTTAAAAAATTACCCGAAAATTTTGAGGTGGGATGATGATGGTGGGGGGTTCCTCATAACTCATGAGCTAATAAATATATAAATAGCAGTTAGTAATGGCAAGCTTGTGTAATGTTATTGAACTATCAAGTTATATTATCTTTCTAGAAAGGCACATATTACAAAAGTAACAAAAAAAAACTTACTGACACAATATGGAAATCACATAACTAAAATAAATAAGATAATAACAGTCAGCCAGCAGATGCAAACCAAAGTGACATACTTGTCAAACAACAATCAATTCACCATTGTATTTTAGTCATCTGAATACACTTTTTAAAATAAATATTGTAATATAATATGTTACCTGCATGCATATTACTAGGTCCTAACTACTGAAAATTACCAGAAAAAATTATTACTGATCTTTTTTTTTTTTTTACAAAAGTCTGAAGTACAAGTAGATATGCAATAATGTACAATTCACATTAATGTCATTTGGTCTATCTATTAACATTGTATATCCTATATGAAACTTCCTACCAATTAACACTAGATCATGTATGTAAAGTGTTCTGTACAACATTTACTTGTGTTTGGTTTATCAACTTTTTTATCATTTCATTTGCTTTTTATTTAGGCCATCACTTTAATAATCTTTTTCTGTTAATTAGATTTAAACCATACTTAAACTACATGTACTGTAAAGTCATATTTGTTGGAAATTTCTTTTCATCAATTTTTTGGGTACTCTATAATCTAAAAAATGTATATGTCCATGAACAACATGTATCAGTAGATAATCTAGTGTCCTGCATCTATGAATACTATCTAAACAAAAAAAAACAAAAAAAAACAGAAAAATTGGGCTCCTTGAAAATATATGATCTTACCACACCCAATTTTCAATCTGAAGTCAATGTGTATTTAATTAATTTTTTTTCCAAATGTTGATAAACATTTTTCCAAAAGGTTTGCTTTTATACATATCAAATGCTTTACCCTCCAACATCTGGAGTTTATCTTAACACATTTTAGTCATAGAATTTTAATTTAACTCAAAATCAATCAAATCAAAGCAAAATATGAATAGGCAAAAGATTTATGCAGAGACCCTTGACAAACCATAAACAGAATAAGACCAGGTGTTCTGTTATCAATGATAACTGCCTTGCTACTGTACAAATGAAGAGGGAAAATTGGTGTATATTCATTTTTCCAGTGCTCCAGATAAGGCGTGCATACAAGTATTTTCCTGCATGATCTTTAGAAAAAAATGACAAGCTGAGCATACAAAAACACATGAAAAAGTGCGTACACATAAGACTTGTTAAGTTGCAAGTAAATACATAATGTACGATGATGAAGTCGGCCGTGAGGTGCCGGAGAATACCGAAACAGTAAACTGGTCTTCAGCGGTGAGGTCTTACATATCATGATATGCTAGTCTGTGAGAAAATATACTAGGAACTAGTCCAATATAATAAAAAGGTTCACTTCGGTCTCAACACCCAAGTCAAACTCCTCCAAAGTGATCTCCCTTGCATGCTCGCTTTGCAAAAGAATTTCCTCTGATAAGGGGAGGTAACTACTGCGGATTAGTTTGCACCAGAGTGTGTCTTCGTACTCTATTAGCGTAACTGTAATAAAATCTCAATTGTCCCAATTTCAAATAAACTGTTGCACGAAATTGCTTATATAAACAGGCAGTACACTAAAATGCTCGCTGTGTATTTCAAGACATGGGTCAAAATTCACATGACAAAAATATAGACAGGAGAGAGGCTAGTCTCCACTGGCAGGACCCCCACTCGCTCTGGTTTTTGCTCGAGCAAGAATTTCTCAACTCTTGTTTCAACTTTATGAAATATAACAAGTTTTTTATTTTAGAGAGAACAAGAATGTGAAGTTTCATCAATATCTTGCTCAGATGATGATATTAAATTATTTAGAACTGTGTACATGGTTACTAAGGAAGAAATGCCTGCTGAAAAAGTTACAGGCCCTGAATGGTGTGGAGATCAAATACAAAAATATTAGTTGGGATAGTTTGACAGAAATTCAGAACTGTTTGAAAGATTCTATACTGTAGGTGAAGAGATTGCAGAATCTAATTTATTTGCAATAATGCTTGATGAAAGTACTGACCTAGCAGTGCAAAAGCATCTGGCCATGTGTTAGGTACGTAAAAACGGCAAGGCAGTTACCAAATTTCTAGCAAATGTGAAAGTGCCTAATGGTAGAGCTCACACCATTTTTAATCACTTGATTCAATGCTTAGATAGTCTTGGTTTGGACAAGACAAAGGTAGTATCTCTGGCCACTGACAGAGCTGCAGTTAGGACAGGGAGAAAGACAGGTGTAGGGGTACAAATCAAATCCAAAACCTCACCTTTTGCAACTATGACCCACTGTATAGCACACAGGTTGAATCTGGCAGTGACAGATAGTATCAAGAAGTGTGAAGTTCTAAAGCAGATGAAAGAGAAGTTCAACTCCTTATACATTTTTATGAGTGGATCAAGTGTAAAAATTTAACAGCTCTCTGCAGTCCAAAAACTACTGAATGAGCCTGTTCTGGCCATCAAAGAACCCCACAGTATCAGAAGCTTGGGACTTAGAAATGCTGTTGCTGCAGTATTTGAGAGCTAGAAGTCAGTCTTGAGTACATTGTCATATTTGCAGGAGAGGGGAATTCAGTGGCATCTGGTTTATTCAAGTACTCTCAATACAAGACCATTTTGCTTGTTAGACATCCACAATACCATTGCTATGTTGAGTTGCCAGCTGCAGTCAAACACTCCTGTTCAGTGAGATTCAGCCTTTGATGGATGGGACCATCTCAAAGTTGGAATCTTTCCATGAAATGGATGGGGAAAGTCTGAGCAAAATCAAAGCAGATATAGATATTAATGACAATGAGGCCAGGTTCAAAAGTGAGAAGTTGAGAAAATATAGCCCAAATATTGACCAAGAGTTTCAGAGCTTGAGAGACACCTACCTGAATTCTCTGAAGAAGAATATCAGGCACAGGTTTTGTAAGGAAGACAGTGATATTTTCAAGGATATTGGTGTTCTTCTTGAACCAATCACAGCTAACAGTGTTTCAGCAAAAGAAGTCCTGGAATGTGTTTCAGACTTTTACTATACAGCCAAACAAACAAAGCTAGGAATAGGTGATCTGGTTCATGGATACAGAGAAAAAGTGCAAGATGTTGACAGTCTGTTGGATAGGGGTAGACTAGAGTAGGAGTGGCCAGTTCGGAAAGGGATGATAGCAAGGACATATAAAGAGTTGTCAACAGAGAGGCTATGCCTTAGAGTGATAACTGGTCACAAAGATTTGATTCCAGAATTTTCTAAGTTGTGCAACATTGCACTTTGCTTTAATGTTACAAGTGTGGAGTGTGAGAGAAGCTTTAGCTTGCAGAACAGGCTAAAAAGCAGGTACAGGTGCTCATTAAAAGGCAGAAAGTGTTGAAATACTGTGAGAAAGAGCTTGAAGCATTTGACTTCACCAAACCTGTCAAGATGTCGCTTGCAGAGAAGAGACAGCGTAAGGCTAGGCTGATGCAGGGGTACAAGCCTAGGGTAAAAGAGGGCCCAGCCATCAGTAATTAATAACTCTTTGACACACTTTACTGTTCAAAAGTTAATTGTTACTTCAATTATTCAGTTATCAAGTTTTCTTTGAACAATCATCGTTGAAAATACTACACTGAAAGGAGTTCTATCCTAAGTTTCAAGTGATTTAAATTTAAATTGCACAGAATTACAACTAAACGACATTTTATACATAATGGTGGAGGTTTCTGGTTGAGAAGAATGCTTCATACAGTTAAATGTTCACTCTATTGTGTTATGTAAAGACTTTCAGCATTTAATTTTGGTTTTCAGCATTGAAGAACAAAATCTGAGAGTACATACTCATTGCATGCAAATATTATCTGGAGCACCGTTTTTCATTCTGAAGTGGTCAAAAATACTGGCCTTAAAGTTCGACTATCTTTCTGCATACTTTAATAATTATAATAAAAATCTACATCATTCCTAAAGCCAGAATTATAAATATACACTCAAATTACATGTATCACAATAGTGTATATAAATCATCACCCGAGGTTATTCCAATAGTATTCAAATTGTCATGATTGTCAAGGAGTCACTCCAAAAGACTACATGCAGCACTGTAAACTTGACATCCTGAAACATTCTTTTGCTTTGAGTGTGGTCAAAATATGGAACAATCTTCTGGAGTATATTGTACCTGCACCAACAGTTAACTCTTTTAAAAATAGATTAGATGAACACTGAGCAAATCAAGAACTGGTATTTAATAATAAACCAGAAATTCTGTAGCTCCTGGATAATGATAATCATTATCCTTGTATCACTAAGACTGGTATAGAGGATCGTAACAATCCTGCACTGGTAATAAACTAAACTAAGCTAATTTCAGGAAGTCTTCATGGCTATTAGTGGCAGTTTCATGTTTTTCATTCAAAGTTATCCTGCCTTAATTCATATTCACAGTAACTGTCATCCTCTTTACATTAATTAAGACATGCAAGTTCATTCTTTAGTTATTAATCATTAATAAATGCACCACACCATAAAAATTCTCATAAATTATGGAAAATACATGCAGTGAAAGATTTTGAACTTTTCATTTCTTTTCAAATATGTTCTTATAATTTTATAACCAAATTGTTCAAATCTGTTTTTTCCACTATAGAATACACTTAGAACTTTTCATCATTTATACATCTATGAATATTGTTGTCACAACTCCAAATCAAATTTTGTCATAAGCAGTTAGTGCAGACATCAAAATTAATTGCAGTTATGTAGTTCATGTACAGAGACAACCAAAACTGCTTTACATGGTTGGATTGAAAGGTAAATTCAAATATTGATGCAAAGCATGATCAAGTTTATTCTTTTATACAATAAAAAACATAATTAAATTGAATCCTCTCTGTGCCACAACAAAAAATGCCCAGAATGACAATATCACAACGTTTTCCAGTTATATAACACGAATATCAATATTTCACAATAATTTTGAATCAATTCATTGCTTTCTTTGTAGTAGTTAGAAACCAACTGACTGCTAATAAACTAACAATCATCAATACAACCTCCATGCTGCTAGGTATATGAATTTTAGTATGAGGAATATCAACAAGTACCAAATGAATAAATAAAAAGCTCTGCAATGTTGTACCGTGCTCTGACAATATTACAATTATTTTTATCTTGCATGTAACAAGCGAGTCTAGAGTTACTTTTACAATGGTAACTGCATCAACATTTTACTTTTAAGTTGTGTATTTAGAAATCTTGTGAAAAAATTAAGTCCAATTTGATACACAATTTTATTATTCAGCCATGTTGCTAGATCCCATCTGGGACACCTCAGCACATCCTTTATTTACAACAAAGTATTTTAAAGATTTTACGGCACAGCAACTCCAAAAGTCTGGGATGCTATGAAGGTGGACTTTCAAGATTTTTCTACAGTTCAATTTCTCATTAACAATGTAGCAATGTCATCTGAACTCACCAATAGATTAAATTAGTTTCATTTCTCAGTGTAGTTTTGGGACAATTGAAACTTCAGATTCTCAAAAAAAAAATGACTGCATCTTGTCCTCATGACTTTAATTACTTCATTCATTTCAGATTTCATTCACAGTCATAAATACTTTAAATATCAGATTTTTCCCCCGTCCCTCCTTGAGAAGAGATATTTTTGGAGTAAAAATGACATATTTGAGTGAATTTTGAGAAATGGAAGAATTTACAATTTTTTTGCACTATCCTTCAAAATAGTGCATCAATATTTAAACAATTGCAATCACTCAGGCTCAGATGGATACCATTCCATCCTCGTACATAGACATGTCATATGCCACATTGTCGTATTGTGAGCATAAGTAGGACTGAATAGGAAGTCTTAAACTCAACCTAGGTCTTGTTTGCAATTTTGACAATTGGTAATACTGAAAACAATCCATTTTCATTGGAATAATATAAATCTTGAAATTGATGCTGCCATAAAGGTATCACTCGTGAATTAAAACGAGTCAGTATTTTATCTACATGTACATCTCGTATTTACACGCCGGATGTTTTCTTCAATTCGTGAGTCATAAGGAAATCTGTTCATGTGTATCCCATTGTATACGTTGCACAAAATCTGCATTTGACAACAGCCTGAACAGGAAGCTGAACAGCTGAAGGATGCATTTTAGTTCTTACATTGAATTAATTTATGGACAAAGGCTACTACATAGTGATCGTCAATTAACACTTGTATGCACACAATCATTAAAAGAAAAATGTAAAATGATTTTAAAATGAAATCTAACCTTGTCGACATTTTGGACGGTTCATCTGTTCGTTAGAAAACACAGACACCATACAAAACCAAATATTCCACATATGGTCCACCAAAATCTGTAATCTTAAAGAGTGACAGACGTCGGGAGCGCTAAACTGGGTCATAAGTCAGTCCAGGAGCATTTTGAGTCATGAAACTTGAATGACACAACGCGAATGCATGAAGACTCAACTTTGTAGAAGCACACTCGTTCAACACGCGGTTCGGGGTTACACCAAAATCAGGATAAAAAGTGATGTTAAAAGTACCAAACCGAAGAGCAAAAGTATCTAAATTAAGGCAAATGAACGGTAACAATATTGTGGCACGGTCCAGGCGGTTGTTGACAGCTACAAAAGACACATTTGTGCATTTTTTCAGAAAACTTTTGAGTCGTTTGCCCTCAACGAGTTGTGTTTTTATACTGACTGCCATTTTGTACATCGTGCCTAAAATAGAGAGTATGGTTCTCTTTGATTGGTCAATGTGTCAAGTATGCCGGGGCGATAAACCAATCAAATCATAACCAAAATTCAATAGGAAGTTGGGCCCCTATTATAGCTCAGCATATGACGAAGTGCCTAATTTGTATTGTTTTAAAGTATTTTTGTGTGTGCACACAAGTAATATTTTTGTTTTGTACATCATTAAATAAAAAATTGTAATTCTTTTCTTTTCAACAGGAAACTAACATATCTATTGGCAATGTGTGTATCGTAAGGGAGGTAACTCGTATTTCTTAAAATATCTGTACTTATTTATGGATTTTGAAGATAAGAAATTTGGTATTTTTATGGCAATTGAAAGTGCAGCAAAACACAAACATTTTATACGGGGATTTTTACCATATCTTCTCGTTTTACGTGCTAAATTTTAGGCATATTTAGTGAGAAACCAGTCGAGCTCATAGTTTCGACTCTCCTTTATAATGGCTAAGAATTTAAGCGTTTAAAAAAATCTTTTACGATGTTTCAAAAAAAGATAAATGGATAAATAAATAATGAGTTCAAAAAATAAATTCCCATCTTCTGCGTGAATAGCCCGGATATCGCAGCTTTTCTGAAATAATTTCTAACCTATGTCAATGAAATGAAAATACACAGGTATGTCTTGTCCATTTACGTCACTGAACCGTAAATAATTTAAATCCAAACAACTAACAAGATCGTATTGAACAATCCACCACTTTTCCTTTAGAAAACATATGTTCTTTTTTTATACAGAAGCATGAAGGCTTGGTTAAGAAATTGTTTTCCTTTACATATAGAACAGAAATGTGTTCAATATATAATTTGCCCAGTATTATATTGTAGTGTCATCTGCCTAAAATTCACATTTCGTCGATTTTTGTCATATTTCTTTCTTTATTTATATGTCTTGTTCTGATATTTATTTTTCTTTTGTTTTTTTTACAGGGGAAACCAGAATTTAAGTTTTGCAATTTCACCGTTACATCTATTATCAAATGGTTACTTTTTATGCAGTTGAATCACCACCTCGTATTACATGTTTCACTTTCGTACTATTACACGTACTCCACTTTTAAGTATGAACTTTAAAAATTCATGAAAAAAACCATAACGAGATTCATTTTATTGTACTGCAAACTATATATGTTTAACTTGGGATCATCCAAGGACGTTTGTTCTGCTTCTTTAATCTGCTTTAAGTAGAAATAACTCAACATCTTTATTCTAAACTTACCATATACGCTATTATTTCTATTACTTTTTTGTTGTAATCCCGAATCTGTCATATAGGTAATATGATGTATTTTTCAAACGCAATTTTTATCCGCTTTATTTGCCCGGTACGCACCACCTCAATCACATCTCGGTTCGAAGTATGGAACGCTCATATTCTTCTCTATGTTTGAGTTGATTAGTATTCATTCTAAGAAGGATATTAGCTATAAAGGCTCGCCCTACAGGATGGACGAAATTACCTTATAATAGACGTGAAACCAATAGATGAGTGATATGAACTTCGCTCTGTTATTATATCTTAATGCAATAATTTCACTGTTACATATATTTTTCAAATTACTACTTTTTATATACTTGAATCACCACATATTTGATGTTGTACTAAATACAGTGTGTACAGGCATTGATGAAAATACAATATGACCCGATGGTCTTATCTATACAAGTAGAAATGGAGAGAAAATAACTTTCTAGCGTCATACGTGATGATTGAAACATACATGTAATTGAATTTGCCCGTCCCATCATTAGCTGGACCTTCTTAGGGCTCCATAGAGCGCGCCACTGGTCGGTGGTCATAGCTGTTTGTTATTGTCGCAGCAGTCGATAGAAATATATTTTTCACTCGTCTTGCTGCATCACGTAAGGCATAACTTGTGATGTCTCCTTCTATCCTCCTTCTTTCATTATATTCAGATGGAAGCACCATCTGCTTACCATTTTGCTGCCCATATAAGTTCCATTCGGTCTTCCTATATGACCCGTAGAAGTTGTAGACCTCCTGCTGCCGAATTCCAGAATCAGACACAATGTCTTGCATCCGTGATGTTGACATTTTTTACCAACTGCGGGTACTCATATCTCTCTCGCTCGTTTGCGTCGTCCAACTTAATTTCCCTATGATACTGTCATGAGCGTTCAACCATCTTTACCTGCTTGGAAATGCGTGACCACAGCACATTATCTGGGCGAAGTGGTGTTGAATCCAGCTTTGCTGGGAAACTTATTTCTGATGTATGCGTGCCCTTATTTCAAGGTCTCCTGTTATGACCATGCCGTTTGCGTCTAGACTGTCCGTCCTGCCTACTCAAGATTTCATGATTTTGATAAATTTTGATCCTTTTCTTTCGTCTGGCACAGTCGAAGAGTTTTACTATTTCTTGAAGCACCAATCTATGCTTCCATGTATTTTTGTTATATGTCAGTGTAACATAGTATGGTGTAAGAAATTGTCCCTCAGGAATATTTTGACTTCGATATTTTCGATCGTAGCTTTGATTTACCTTTAAAGTAGGACTTGGTTAGCCTACCTGAACTAATAGGATTATCATCATTGTACGTTTCACGTCTTAGTTTTAAACATTATACCTTGTTCTCATTTGAGAATGTGACATTATCCACATGGATTCACCAGGATTTACAAGACGTAACCCTTTCAGAACATCTGGCCATATTCTATTTGTACTTATTCGGAGCCTTTCTTTCATGTTAATCTTATTTTTGTTCATAGTTTGCGATATTTTCATCGAATTTGAGTCTAAATTACGATTCTGTTAACAGGTTGGCAATTTCTTTGTAATATTTGTTTACATGTGTGTTTTCTTCCATGATAAAGTTTGGTGACAATTACTATAAATGTGTGAGTTGTTATTCCCTTTTGACATTGTAATGAAGTTAAATACACCATTCATTACCCGATGTATGAGCCATACATATACATGGTATCAAGAAATAGCGCCAAGATATTGTTGAATAGTGTCAGAAAATAGACAGTGTATATATCTATATCGGACTCTCGTGACATAGTGATATTGAGGAAATGTCGATCTGTACTTTAGAAAACTATGGAAAATGTCTTGTAAATAAAGAAGCCAGATATGTTTTAAGTTGTCTGATAAGCATTCCATACGATTGTTCAGGATTGTTACATGTTTTCTTCTTCAGAAAATATAAGTTGATGTGTGAGCGAATACATGTCTTTGTCATTTCACATTGTTTACCATTTCAATAGCAAAAATACTAGTAATTCAAATAGATACCGAAGAACTCATTGTACTTTGGCTTGTATTTCAAATATATTTAAAAAAAAAAAAAACTTATTGTATTGGTATTTGATCATTGGCATAAATATCATTAAGGGAATCAACTTAACTTTCTTTAAAATGTATGTTCATAATCTTTAACTGCCATTTTATGGACATATGCATGCATATATTAAATAAAAGTACCCACGGAATCAACAAAAATATCCCCCCCCCCTTACTCCTTCTAGAAATAAATCATTTTACACAATATACAGAATATGATCTTTTTGCTGTCACACTACAATACTTGAAATTCTTTCTACTTCGTACTGTTGTTGTCGAGTGGTATTGTGGTGCGAACAGCAATTAAAATGAGCTACACTTTCTTGAATGGTGACTTAGGTATATTTTTCACGATAAAAATATACGTTAAATTGCCTTGTTTAATTTAGGGAACACAGAAACGTATCTGACAGATATAGATTTCAGAACCAAATTAAGATATTGCAGCTATTATCAGCATTCATTTATGTCTGTATGCACGAAAACGGAGGTTCATACACATAATACAAAACATAATAACATTTCATTTCAAATCTTTTAATATGAAAAGGAAGTAACAACTTTTATTGTACAACAATAACCGATTTCCGGAGCGAGTCCTCCAAAAGAAGAGAGAAATATACTTAAAAGATTGTACAAAAGACACACAAGTGAATAGCACCTTTTGGTAGAAATTTAGAAAAAAAAAATACAAACGGCATTATACAAATGTTTCTCATTCCAGAACCTATCATATTATGTAATAATGAGTAATGGTAATATATAACTTAATCATGTCATATTATCTACTGATTTAAAAATTTACACAAAACAAAACGAAAGTTACACCGAAGATAACCGAATATTAATTTGTTACATCTCAAATAAGATGATATTGACAAGAACAGATATCCCATATACATATCAAAATATATTTCATTAATGAATCAAGGTAGCCATATGTTTATATATATATATATATATATGCCATTACTTACTTGGATTAACGATTAATGATGAGATTACAAGGAATATATGTACTTACAAGTACATCGAACATGTCTAAATATTTTTTTCTTATTTGACTACACTATCATTTGAAGGCGTGTGTAAGAATTCATCTTTCATCGTATATTTCGAGATTGTTTTTGTTGAATACAATGCTATTAGGTTGGTTAGAAGGATTGCTTGGAATAAACAAAAACCTTAAAAATAGTATTAGCGCAAATTGATGATATAATAGTGTTACATGCCACAGTGTCTGTAGGGATATACAGTCACATAGCGTAGTCAAAAAGACACTATTCATTAACGTTTGATATGTGTGTTTACATTATATATTTGTACTTTGTGATGATGCGGTGTAACACTTTCTGTATAGTCCGT